CGCACACGCACACGCACACGCACACGCACACGCACACGCACACGCACGCACACACACACACACACACACACACACACACACACACACACACACACACACACACACACACACACACATATATATATATATATATATATATATATATATATATATATATATATATATATATATATATATATATATATATCTCTCTCTCTCTCTCTCTCTCTCTCTCTCTCTCTCTCTCTCTCTCTCTCTCTCTCTCTATGGATATATATATATATATATATATATATATATATATATATATATATATATATATATATATATATACATGCAAGAGATGCTGTCGTCTCGGTTGATGTTCAGGCTGTGTTCTTTTCTCACGTGCTCTTTTGGAGCACCGTCAGCCAAGTGCATCGTCAACCGCCTTGAAAGTGTGGTGGTAGTGACATAAGCCCTCCTCCACGCATCATTTCAAAAACTGGTTCTTAACCTTTCCCAAAACGCTTAGGCACATGCCGTCCTCTTGGTAATAGCTTTCTTCCCTCACCTTATCAAACACGCATTGCAAGCCAGCTGAGATTCAGGGAGAGACTGTTCCAGGCTGTTGTGTCAGTGAAGGGCAAGCAACTCCAACCTACTTTAACTCGAATGTGTGGCAAATGAAACGACCGCTGTGTCAATTTCAAGCAAAACGAATGTTGATTGTAAAGGTGTTGCTAGTTGAGCTGGCACCTCAGTGACCACCTTCGTATAGGACTCTTGAACCTCTGCACAGAACCGGGAAGTAGGAGAACTACATAACATAAATTTGACTGCACCAGCTCTCAAGCCTTAGAACAAAAACCCCGATGGCCGGCGTTGCAGTCTCCGTACGCTGCTCGGCGTCGGCCTCCTTGTCAATATTGGGCGATGGCCGGTGAGCGGACGAAAATGGCAACGTTTCTGAAGGAAGTTCTTTTGAACGCCATAATATGTCTATTAGAGCGTTAAGAAGATAATTCGGGAGCGTGTTTCACCAGTGCTATTCATATATTTATAAAATGAACGGATCGGCGCTCACAGCACTGCGAGCCGTTGATGGGATTTGGTGTAGTATTACATACACAAGGAAACATAAAACCACTTTTCCCGTTGATACGCTTTTTATCCGTTCAGAAAACGTCATCGGCATTCCAAATATGTGAAATTTACGTTCCGGTCTAATGTTTGACCGATACGAACCCATTTTGAAAGACTTTCGGGGGCACTATTTTACTCGGTTGCTCTCGCGCTCCAGACGCCTGCCGTCCGGTGTTGGTCTGCTGAGGCCGCCCGATTTCATGCTTTCATGGCAACTGCAACCGCGGGCGCCTTTTTTTGCTTTTAAGACCGCGAGTACGTAGCCTCAATTATTATTTCTTTGTAATATATTTCACATGCTGCTCCGGATCAAGAATGCATGCACTGATATAACTTTCTAAAATGGGTTTGGACTGAGCCAACAAAGTTGATCTAAACTACTCTCAAATTCTAATTTCCGTCTGAATTTCGGCTACGTTGATTTCCATTCCTGATGTCCAAATTAACTTTGAAAATACGTGGCCGATTCCAAAGTTGTTTTGACGTTGAAAATTGGCTTGCCTTTTGAATCCGATGTGGCAGTGATAATGGTGATATATAAAGATTATGATATAAATAGTGGTGCGTTTAGGACCATCTATACCAGTTCAGACACCAGCTGCATTTCATTAGCCGGGTGCTTCCTTTCCACATTTGTATGGAGGTTTGAACTGAAATAGCCAATTTTGAAAATCATTCGATGCATTTCACAACCCTACCCTTCGTAAAGGGAACGCTCGAAATTTGAAGATATGGTGAAAAAAGATATGGTGAAACAAGCATCAGATATGGTGAAATAAGATCACGTTTAACTATTTGTATATTTATAAGTGAAAAAGTTTGTTCCAGATAACACAACTTCTCTGTATAGTGAACATGCTCCTCATTACGTCATTGTTTAGTTACGTCATCGTACCTTGCACCACACTGATTGAGAGCCAATTGACCCGTGTCCACTAATGCCAGATACAAACGGCTCGACCATTCTGTTTGCCTTGGCCTTGAACCGTAGGACTTATGAAATGGCCAAATTTGAATAACGTCATTACGTCGTCTTGAATACTAAGGCGATGACAACATCGATCGGCGATTTAACTACGCACAACATTGATTGACAGCCTATCGACGGCCGTTAAGTCTGGAGATCATGCTCACGAACGCCAGATGTGAACAACTCCACAATGGTATTTTCTTGGCCTTGATCGCCGCATAGCTAATGGAATGACGGGATCGGTGACAGTTAGCGTGATGTAAAATCAGCCAGTCAGCACGCCGGGGCCCTCTGTAAGGCACTATGAACTCCTGGCCGACACAGAGGCCTCAGTGTTTCAGGAGTCCCGCTCCCGACCAATGCAACTCGCGGTTCTCAGGCTTTTCCTCGCTTGGAAACTGGGTTAAAGGGGCTTAGACTGACAAGGAGCAGACTGTTCGTCGTTGCTGGGCTCTGGCCGAAATAGACGCTCACATTGTTCTAAGGTGTCCCCAAACAGTGTAAGAGACTCTCCCACTAACATCGGAGGCCTCGGCCCTACAGACTGGGGTCCGCAGTGTGACCTGCAGCCAACCCCTCGTACCTTCCAATTAGGCACTTGATCGAAGGTCCCTCTGCGGTTCCCTCGAGCACTGCCCCAGGCCGATTCTGGATTCCTTGCTCCACATCACCCTTGTTATGCACTGTGGTCTCCAGATCGACCCAGGGGCCTCTTCATTGTCTCAGGGGCCCTGACAGATGTAAATCGCGTGCCCTGGCCTTGTTCCTGTCTGGGAAATGCGTCCTGAATTTCAGACCTGGCGCTTGATTAATCTGGAGGCAAACCCGTCGCGTGTCACGGTCGTTAAACCTCCACCACAGGGGTGTATTTTCACAAAATAGACTAGGGACCTGAACGAGAGAAACCCTGCCAATAAGTACACATTTTGTTTTTGCCCGGTTTCCATCCACCTCTCTCTCAACGTAATAGAGTTGAATTTCTACCCAAATGAATAGGAATTTACAGCACTGATCCAATACGTTTCTTTGCTCTACCTCGGCGGAAGATCTCGTTGGGCATCATTGCCATTTTGTTTGGCGTCGATCGTCAAAATCATGTTTCGGCAATCAACGCAGGTTTGATGTTATGTGACTCAGACGTTGTTAGACGCTTTGGGAGTGAAGGGAGTAGGTTGGTATGCGCGGCTGGGCTGGCTGCCCCGGAAACCCCCGCCTGGTAGCCATAAAACGGGCTGCAGGCTACAACCCAGCACTCGAGTTCAGCATGCTTGACACGGCTAGTGCTGTTTTGGTGGTCATCATCGGATGACTGCCGCTATTGGTTTGTCAGTTGGTGCCGGTCGTCAAGCTTTTGTAACTGTTCCATGGGATATTCACGTCGAATTGGAGGTTGGCACATTTCAACGGTTCTTTTGAACATTGTAGAGTAAAGATTGTTAACATTTCTGGATGCCAGCATTTGACTGGTTTGTTTTTGTCTAAGACACCGTATCGCATCGTGGCAAAATAACGCAACTTGCTGCAATCCGTGGATAATTTAACATCTCTGAACAATACCAAAGCACTCAGACAATAGCATAAAACCTTATCAGGGTCAACAAGGCTTATTAATCGCCTAAGTAAAAGCATGCATCATGCTAAAAAGAAAACACTTAAATGAACACGCTACGAAAGCAAAGTTTTTGCAGTGTGACTACCCCAGTAAGCTGCACTCAGCTGAACATGACATCGCAGTGTGCATTTTCTTTGTTCCCTTCACCTGTTAAACAGCTAGTAAAAACCTTCTTTAGAATTGATTCCCCATTTATAATGCCCTGCTTGTACTTTGGCTCCAGATGGTTGGGGGCCAAACTCAGTGTTGGGGATGAGCCAAATCGGAGATTGGGGGGGGGGGGGGGCAGTGGCCCGCCAAAGGGAATACAAATTGACACCCGTATTAGCAATGCAAATGTACTTTGCTGATTTCGTCGGTTTTTACGCTTGGCGCGAAATTTCCGCTCCTATGGCACGTGTAACACGAGACTAACACACTGCGATAGGCCATCGAACGGGAAATCCCATGGCATCACAAATGCAGGGTGCCACATTCCACGTATGGCCCACACACAGGTCAGTAATACGAGTTTTGCTCTCTTCCACCGGCTTAAACGTGTGATGCCACATCTCGGCACCCAGGGCAAGGATATGCTCGGAAGTGGCATGCATTGATAGGGAATCGAAAGAACAATCACGTGGTATAAATTGTCATGTCGCCTGTGCTGTGTGTCACGCATGCACGAGCCAGCACGATGGATTTGGTCATTTCCAACCTTCTTTACGTTTTGCACCATATCTCAACATCCAAGGCAGCCAAAACCTTCAATCAAACTGCAAAGATAGGGAATGCAAAATTCCACGCTTTCTCAGTGAGCGCAGCAAAGCAAGCGTGGGAACGCTTGTCATAGCGAAAGATTCGCCGACTGACACAGCAAGAGTGTGAATATCCTTAGTAGTTCAGGCGAAGGCTCCATGGAGGTGGATGATCTGCTTCGAACAACGTCGCCGATTGACAGCGCAGTTAGAACTAATATTTATTCGCGGAATAATACAGCCGTTTCATGTTTACAACCGGGCTCAGTGTAAGCCAACTGACAAACGGGACACCCACGGAGTGCCTGGCTAAGCAAATCAAATGCACTTATATACAAGACGGACGGCCCCTCTATACAGTGTAGCGGCGCGCCACGCCTCGTCATGCGGGACTGAGCGGTGCCACTGGCCGCCCTTCGATATGCCGGTTGGAATGTGAGGGGCGAACGCGCGGCGCCGACCGGTGCGGACTGAGGTAGGCGTGGCTGCGGGGGGCGGCGCGCCCCGCTCGCCGGCCGGCCGGGGCGGTCTCCCCGGCGCGCCGCCCCCCGGCTGCAGCGGGCCTCGCCCGCGCACACCTCCGGTCCCGGCGACACGCAACACGACGGCTCGCTGCGCGGCGCCGCGCTCGCGCCGGCGGCCGGCTCGGAAAATAAAACAAACAAGGTCATATCACAGCGAAACTTTGGAGTCGGCGCGGTGGATGCGGCCAGGCAGCCGCCGGTGCGGCCGCAAGGACGCTACGCTAGCTAAATTAGGTGCTCCTTATCTCATACGTCCCTGGAACAGCAGAAGTTGACGGTTAGGAGACGGCAAGAACATGAGTCACTGATAAGGAACGCTGAAAACAAAGTGCGTTTTGGAAGAATGTAGCTCGCGCGAAAAGCGAAACCAACCGAAACACCACAAAGTCATGTTAGCAGTAAGCGTTCAAACGAAAGAAGCACGCAGTCGATCCACGACATTCTCAGCTGCCGCGGGGGCAGAATCGGCTTTCACACTGGATGCCCTCCCAGTTGCGTCTATTTACGATGCTCGTATAGTGTTGTCGCTGAGCAGAAACTCGAACTGGTTCCACTGGTCGGCCGGGCTGGCGGGCGGCGCGTCGGCGTCGGCGTCGGCCGCCGCCGCGCCCGCCGGCGAGCCGTCGTTGACGGTGATTTGTACCCGCGAGAGCACGCCGTCCGGCGCCTCCGAAATGTCGATCTTGACACCGCTCTGCGGCACCGCAGGGCCGATGGTGAGATGCGACGTGGCGTGAGACATGGGGCAGGGTGAATGGGACGTGGCCTGAGACGTGAGGCAGGGAGAATGGGACGTGGCGTGAGACGTGAGGCAGGGAGAATGGGACGTGGCGTGAGACGTGAGGCACGGATAATGGGACGTGGGAGCGCGTCCACTGCCCAGCTGATTTGCGGACTGGGTTTTATAAAGAGGACGGAAGAATGCAACACGCCCTCCGAGCCACGAGCCACACACAGCGTCTTTGTGTAGTACTAGATGTGAACCCGCACTTGGTGAAAAGCTAAGTCCCATTGCAGGGATATGAAGAAACGTCACGGCTTTAAAAAGAGGTTTAACAAAATTACACCTTGGAGGTCCCCAAACACCTGCATGGAAACGCGTCTTAGAATGATTATTCCATCACATCCTGAATGGTATCGCAAAACACGCCTTAAAACCTTTACTGGCCACCAGAGTCGACAATGCCTGGCGTCGCAGCGAGGTGAGGCAAGGCGGCACTGGCAGGCCTTAGCCGCCGCCGCTGCTCCAGTGACAGCTTACCTCCGTGTTTTGTACGCTGGACGAGACACATGAGACGCCGGCGCAGCTCAGCTCGTCGGCCGAGATGTACGTGGTCGATATGTGTGGGCTGAGCTTCAAACGCTGCGCCAGATTCGTCGCCTCCACGATCGTCTGGCTCTCTTCCGTCTCTGCAGGGCGGAAAGAGAGGGCGGTCAGCACGAGCTGGCGCGGAGCGTGGTTGCGCAGCCAGTGGTTACCCGGAACCCATCCGACGTGCCTCGACTTCATAATGTATGGCACGGGCGACACGGCGTGCGTAGAACGGACGCCAATTTAAATTTGCATGCTTCGACGCTTCCACCAGACAGTCCTCCGGCAGACCGCCAGCATTCGTCGAACGCCAACGATACAACCCAGCCATTATTCGGGAGCATAGGGGGTCCACATCGCTGACCACAGTGTCGGCCCGCCCTGCGTGGCGGCGCCACCGTCGCGCGCTCACCAGCTGTCAGCGCCTCGTCAAGGTCCTCGCCGAGCAGCCCCTCCTCAAACTCTGAGCCAATGCTCAGATGCAGACTGTTGACGCTGCTCACACCACTGCTGCTGTGCACGCTGTCGGAGCTGCGGCGAACACGGCGAGGCGTCAAGCGAAGGAGACGAGCCATGCGGTGACACAGTGAACAAAATAGGTGGGGTTGGCATGGTCAAGTCGACAAGAATCTTTTTGTTTCTTGGCACTGCAAGAAAGCGTGAAGCTGACCCCAGCTGAGATCACAGCTGACAATTAGCTTCAAATGGTATCAGGCGTTAACATCTCGCATAGTAACGGCTTGTAAGCCCCTAATAAATCATGCGGCATCATGTCCGCTACCCGTCGACCCCTGTGTGACATTCACCTGAGTAAGATGAGATACCCTTCGAGCCGCGCGAGACCTCCCCTGGAGACGTGGTACCCTTCGAGCCACGTGAGACCTCCCCTGCGGGAGGTGGTAGCCTTCGAGCCACGTGAGACCTCCCCTGCGGGAGGTGGTAGCCTCCGAGCCACGTGAGACTTCCCCTGAGAGAGATGGTACCCTCCGAGCCACGTGAGACCTCCCCTGAGAGAGATGGTACCCTCCGAGCCACGTGAGACTTCCCCTGAGAGAGATGGTACCCTCCGAGCCACGTGAGACCTCCCCTGCGGTAGGTGGTAGCCTCCGAGCCACGTTAGCTCTCTCCTGAGAGAGATGGTACCCTCCGAGCCACGTGATACCTCCAAGGAGAGAGGGGGTACTCTCCGAGCCACGTGAGATCTCCCCTGCGGGAGGTGGTACCATCGAGCCACGTGAGATCTCCCCTGCGGGAGGTGGTACCATCGAGCCACGTGAGATCTCCCCTGCGGGAGGTGGTACCATCGAGCCACGTGAGACCTCACCTGAGGCAAGTGGTGCCGTGTCGGCCGCCCTTGAGCGCCTGGCTCTGCCGTCCCATATGCGGCGGCGGTGGCTGCTGCTGCCCACAGTTCCACGAGAGGCGCTTGTGTATGCTGGCGTCCCGGGCCTCCTGCTTCTGCGATAGCAAGGATCGCGTGTGTGACACCCATACGGTGCAAGTCAGTGGTGAGTCGCCGACCCAGCCGACGTCAGGGTGAACCACCGGCTGACGGTGTCAGGGACGGCTGGCCTGACACCATCGGCAGGCTAACTCCCACCACTGAGCCCCGCTGCTGAGCCGCAACAGTCTCCGGTTTCGGTGTCGGGTGCGGTGTATAACCAGTGCCGTGCGTGGTTGGATGCGTCAGGGCGGATCTCAGCGCGGAAAACGAGCTGTGCGGTATCATTCGGGTTAAGCGCAAACAGGCGGGTAATGCACAGCTGCAGGCGGGACCGAGAAACACCTCGACGTGCTCAGGTACGTCTGAAGATGCCACAAAGCCAGAGGCATTAGTGTGGGGCAGAACCTAGATGTTCACTAGGAACTAGATAAGAATACGCCAACATACTACTGTCTGGGTATAGATCACAAGATCAATGACACAGGAAGGTTCATCGTCGCATACCATCGGAGGACGCAAGGCAACACAGTCGAGACGGACAGCCCCGAAAGCATAGTCACAGAGTGGTCATAGTCACTAGTGGCATAGTCACTCGCGCGGCGCCTCCGTCCCCCCGTCCCACCACGTGTCCCACCTGTCCCACCACGTGTCCCACCGTCCCACCACGTGTCCCACCTTGATGTCCTCGATGGCACCGGCCGTGTGGTAGCGACGACTCTCGAGGCGGTCGCGCGAGTGCCGCCGACTGCGACCGTCGCCGTCCACCTCGGTGTCCTCCGGCTCGGCGGTCGCGCCTGTCGGCCGAGCGGGACCAGGGTCATCCCACGGCACGGACCGGGGCGCTGGCGTCACGGGCGGACGTACCGGGTAGTCCACATCACTCGTCGGTGCAATTGTGTCGCAAAAGTAATGCTTGATTGGCGACAGAACAAAGTCCTTATGCAGAGAAGCGTGGGTTTGGGACGGGGTAGCCTTCCGCTTTATATGGGTTTGGGTCGATGGAGCCCACCGCTTTACATGAGTATAGGGTGGGGAGCCTGCCGCTTGACATGGGTTTGGGGTGGTAGAGCCTACAGCTTGACATGGGTTTGGGGCGGGGGAAACTGTCGCTTTACATGGGTTTGGGGCGGGGAAGCCTGCCGCTTTGAGAAATAGCAGGTTCGACCTATCGATGCCCTCCAGCGCCGAGCAGGGCCGACAATAGCTCGGAGCACACCAGGCAGGACGCTCGGCTCCTGGGACCCGAGTCTGCCGCCAGCGGGACCCGAGTCTGCCGCTAGCGGGACCCGAGTCTGCCGCTAGCGGGACCCGAGTCTGCCGCTAGCGGGACCCGAGTCTGCCGCCAGCGGGACCCGAGTCTGCCGCTAGCGGGACCCGAGTCTGCCGCCAGCGGGACCCGAGTCTGCCGCCTAGCGGGACCCGAGTCTGCCGCTAGCGGGACCCGAGTCTGCCGCTAGCGGGACCCGAGTCTGCCGCTAGCGGGACCCGAGTCTGCCGCTAGCGGGACCCGAGTCCGCCGCTAGCGGGACACCCGCGCACACAAACACGGCACTCTGTAATGGTGCCGGCGGCTGGAGCTGGCGGCAGCGGCCGCTAACGAGCCGGGTGCCGTGTCAGACCATCAGGGACGGACACGTGCACCGCCCGCGACACGTGCACCGCCTTAGCCCCGGGAACTGTACGCAATCGATGTAGCTATTCCAATCTGCTCGGGAACACCAGGCGTTTTCGAAAGACGCGGAACCTTCTTGCAGATTTCTCTCCGCAGTCGGCCAAATGGCTGACGTCAGATGAGACGGAGCACCGAGCTCAAATTCATCATTATGGCGGGAGGGGGCCAGATATGACGAACGCCGCAATGACATCCCCTGAGTTCATGATCCGCTAAGGTAATTCGCATCGCCACACCATGATATAAGCCAGAGCCAACAACGGTTTCCTTGCACAGCCCAGGTATCGATCTCTCTCGTACCGCGCTCACCCGGGTTGGCGGCGGCCGGCGGTGGCGGCGGAGGCGGCGGCAGCGAGGGCGCCGGCGGCGGTGGTGAGCTGCCGCCGTCGGCCGTCACGTGATGGGCACGTGACAGCGGTGGGTTGCGCGGTGGCGGCGGCTGCACGGCCGGACTGCGGCGCAGAGTGCGTGGCGACAGCGGCGGGTACGTCACGCCGCGCTGCGCCGGATTGAGCGTCCGCTGCGGTGGCACCGACAGCGAATGCGCCACCTCGGCCGACAGGTTGGGCAGCGACTGGCCGGCCGGCGTCAGGTGCGTCAGCACCGACAACTGGTTCGGCGTCGAGCCCACCGAGCGCAGGATCGGCCGCCTGCCGGATGCCGCAGGCGGTGAGACGGTGTTGGGACGGCGGTCGGCCCAGCCACTGATACACAGTCACACCAGCGCCGCTGCTCGTGTGTCGATGGGACGGCGGTCGGCCCAACCACTGATACACAGTCACACCAGCGCCGCTGCTCGTGTGTCGATGGGACGGCGGTCGGCCCAGCCACTGATACACAACCACACCAGCCACTGCACGTGTGTCGATAACAATGCCGGCGATTATTGGCGAGAGGAACGGCGTCTCAGTGCCGCGTGCACCACGCTAAGGTTCACTAGGTGATTGTTCAGCTGGACGAGCGTACGACGACCTACCTCTCTGCCCGAGGGCTGAGCGAGCCTTTCAGCTTGGCAGACGGGTTGTCCTCCGACGAGGAGCGCTCGGGAAGGTTCAGCCGCTCCTCGGCCGCCGCCAGCACCGCTCTGGCGGGGCTCGTCTGAACCGTTAGTACGCTCGACGTGCCGCTCGGGTCGCTGTTGTCCATCGAGCTGCTGCAAGACGACGACAGAGCCGGCGTTAGGAACACCGTGCGAAGCCAGTCGTTGTCACGCCGCTTCCTGGTAGGCGGGCATCACATCTGAAACATGTTTAGTAGTGCAGCACGGAAGGCAGCAGGAGTGACTGACCTGTGTGAGTGGATCAGGCAAGGAAGGCGGCAGGGGTGACTGACCTGTGTGAGTGGATCAGGCACGGACGGCAGCAGGGGCGACTGACCTGTGTGAGTGGATCAGGCACGGAAGGCGGCAGGGGCGACTGACCTGTGTGAGTGGACCAGGCACGGAAGGCAGCAGGGGCGACTGATCTGTGTGAGTGGATCAGGCACGGGAGGCAGCAGGGGCGACTGACCCGTGTAATTGGATCAGGCACGGACGGCAGCAAGAGTGACTGACCTGTGTTATTGGATTAAGTAAGGACGGCAGCAGGGGTGACTGACCTGTGTGAGTGGATCAGGCTGGGGACGCGGCTGGTCCGGCTGCTGCCCCGTGGACTGCGCGAAGTCAGCAAGGCACTGGCCGGGAGCTCCAGCTCGTCATCGTCGTCGTAGAACACGTACTCCTGGTTGATGGTAGCCAGGCGAGCCTCACGATACTTCTCCTGCGCCTTCTTCACCCAGTCCACCCAGCTCTACCGAAGGCGCGGTCATTGGTTCACACAATTTGGGGGCGATGGTAGCAAGGTATGGGCGATGGTAGCAAGGTATGACGGGAGCCAAATGCACATTCGCATCTTTTCTGTTAAGGTCTATACACGGAAAAGTGTCACCACAAATCCTGCGTGAGAACCAGGGTAGGTTTCACGACCCTCGACCGTCTCACGATTGCAGCTGGAGGGGGGGGGGGGGGGGAGGGGGATCTTTAAAGCTTAACATCATCAGGCAGGGACGTAGTTTCACAAAATAAATTGGGGGAAGACGGTGAAAAAGATGCGGTTTTCCCCGAAACTATGCCAACAAACGGGCTTTTCACCGGATTTTGCCCAACTTCCACTCGATGGGGGGGGGGGGGGGGGGAGGAAAGGCAGCAGCTTCAGCTTGTAAGACTGAAGTCCCCCAAACTACACCCCTGTGTGCGAGTACATATTTCATTCAGGCAGATCCCGGACCGACTTAGCTAATAAGAGAAGTTTCCTGTATGAACCGGCACGATTTGGAACATTTGTAATGCGCGATATAGACAATGTCTTAACATGCACCAAATCAGTTAAGTCAGCACCAATGACCCACTATCAGCTATGGATGTTGCTGCCAATCGCCGCAGAGACATTCGCTGTCAAGTTGTGAAGGCTCGACAGAGTTTGCAGCACTTTCTAGGGTTACTCATCCCTGTGAATCATGCATGGCTTTGAGAGTGTCAACCGAACAAGGCTTGGCATTACCGGGTGTCCTGTAGCCTTTGCCACTTCAACTTTGTCATATTGTGTCAAACTGTAATAGAGTGGTACAACGGAGCCACTAAGTTCATGCCGAACCAACACATATTTTGTACTCAGTGGACAAGTAACAACTAGCAAAGTTCGTTCGGCCACAGACCAAACGAGACGGGCCACCAAACATGGCATCATCTGGCCCGACTCTGGCACGGGACCGCCCCCCCCCCTCCCCCTCACCAGAACACCTGGCCACCAGAGAGGCGGCGAGCTTGACCCACCTTGCAGTGTTGGCCTCGGAGCAGTAGAGCGTGAACGCCGCCGTGGCCGACTGATACTCGTTGAGGTAAGACGCAGAGCGAGCGCCGCGTCTTTGTGCCGCCTCCTGCAACCAGCAAGGCGGGAACGATGACGTAAGGCTGCCGTATGACGCGCACCTTGTCGCCCTTCTTCGTCAGCGGCTTGCAGACGACACATGTCCTGAAGAGAAGCAGCGCAACTTTCCACCTGGCGGAGAGGAGGCAGCGTCAACCCCCTGGTGGTAGCAGCAAGATAAGCGGCGGCAGCGGCCACCGTGACTCGTGGGAAGGCGGCGGTAGGACGGTAGCGGAAGGGCGGCGGACCCCCAGACGGCGGGGCAGGGAAAGGAAGCGGGCAGTGGCTGTGGGGCAGCAGGGTCTGCAGGGTCAGCATGGGCTGGGGGGATTTACGAGAGCATAGGCTGGCGGAGAGAACTGCACCGTCGCGACGCCATCCTTATGTTTTGACAAAAAGACAGCGAACTAGAAACATACCGTTTGATTTGCTGCCACGGAGACTTGTTAAATCAAGTCAAGCGCCTTTAAATCGATATTTATGTCAATTCTTAGCATGTCCAAACTCAAACTCCGACCCTCTCCAAATTATCAAAGATTACTAACTTCACCGTGAACCAATACAAACTGGGATGCGTTCAGAGCCAATTCGACTCAACCTAGCTAAAGTCAAATGTCCAGTGATCTCGAAAGAACATCTCGTGTGCTGGATGCAGAGGGTGATGCATATCCAAGCGTCATCTTAGCGTCACCAATAGCTCCAGATCCACTCGTCGGGCCTGTCTGGCAGCCTCGGCCGTCACAAAGCCCCGTAGCCGCCTGAAACGGTTGATTACGGTGCGGCCCGTGCCGGTCGTATCCAGCTGGGGTCACAGGGTCTGAGTCCTGGGCGACCCGAGCCGGACCGGATAGGCGACGCGGCACCGCCGACGGAGCGCCGGGCGGCGGTCACCAGCTGGCGGCCGACCCCGTCCGCCAGACTCACCGTCCCACAGCAGATGCCGTCGCTGCAGCGGACCTCGTGCAACGGCCATGCTGATGTCTTAGCCCGGAAGCGGCAGTGTAAGGCAACGATATCTAACACCGCCATGCCAGTAGATGACTTCATGTCGCATGAGTAACGCACCAATGTGAAGAGTGGCGCGATGAATCATGATACACACCACAGTACATAAGCGCTGTCACCACCACGAACAGGGAGAAAAAGTGTTAGCTTGTTCTGGAGATCATTTGCTTTTTTGTTACACCTAGTATCAGTTCTGAACTTGTTACTCCCGCTCACAAGCTTATTAAAGTCTAACAAAAAATAGGACACGACCTTCGTAAAACACGTACGTGCGGTTCAACAGGCCGACGTAATCTACTCTTCATCACCTTCAAACAAACGCGTCTTTTAGAAGACTCATCCGTGGCTCTTTTCATCACAGGGAGAGCACCCAAGGCGACATATCCTGAACCCATTTCTGGAGCAATCTCGCCACCTCCTCAACGCCGACGTGGCCAAGTTTGCCTGGTGAGATTGGACCGCTGCGTCGGCAGGGCGCCACATCCGTCCGTCCGCCCATAAACTCGGGATAGAATGCGCCGTCTCCCAGACGGCTCGTAATTAAAGCCACTCGCTGTTTGCAGCATGGCTGCACTAATTGTTGGCCCGACAATGGCTCTGAAAAACAAAGCGGTTATAACAAAGCCCGTGGACCCACACCCACGAAGGCGGGACGCTGAAAAAAATGTGCCGCCGTATGTCTAGAATGGTTAGATGCACAAAATGAAAAAGCCAACTGGCTGGCGAAATGTTGGGGAGGCTGGCTCCAAAGAACGACAGAGATGCCGGGAAAAACATCGCGGAACAGATTGCGGTCCCACGCGTGCGGTCTCCGAGACTATGAACTGCGACGCTCTGAGGAGCCACAAGGGCTGAAGCACGCCACGAACTCGACGCTGCTTTCTGCGAATACAAATAAATCCGCGGCAGCCAGCCAACCAATATCAGAAAACTGCATCGCCAGTCACGTGGCTGCAGAACGGGGAACTCTGTGCGAGGCCAGCGGCCAGCGCCTGGTGATAGCTCGACCGACCGACCCGGCGAGTCCCTCGGTGTCCCGGCAGTGTCCCGGCAGTGCGCCCGGGGCACGCGCCGCCATTAGACCGACCGACCCGGCGGGTCCTTCGGTGTCCCGGCTGTGTCCCGGCAGTGTGCCCGGGGCACGCGCCGCCACCAGACCGGCTGACCCGGCGAGGCGCCCCGTGTCCCGGCAGTGTCCCGGCAGTGTCCCGGCAGTGTCCCGGCAGTGTCCCGGCAGTGTCCGGACAGTATGCTCGGGGCACGCGCCGCCATCAGCCAGACGTCTACCAATCGGCCAGCGCTTCAGCGTATCGGACCGGGAGGCCAGGGCCCCTATACCCTCCCACCGCCGGGCGACCTGAGTGCGACCCAGATGCGGTCGAGATGACCCAGTTGAGCCGGCGGACATCGACCGGCGTCCGTCGGCGCTCGCCAGTTCAATCAGCGCCCCGGCGACACGGCCGGACGCGAGCGGGCACGGGCCGCGCGCGCTCGCGTCGGCGCCCAAGCCGCTGATAGCATCATCAGCGGCGCGATCGAGGTAATAGAGACATCAGGCCGGAGTGCGGGACACTCCCAAGGACCCGCAGCTGAGGTGGGGCACCGGGGACAACGGAAGGGACGGGGTCCGCAAGCGGGAGAGTAAGGACTCGCAACTGAGGTGGGGCACTGGGGGCAACAGGAGGAACAGAGTCCGCAGGACTCGCAACTGAGGTGGGGCACCAGGGACAACAGGAGGGACGGGGTTCGTAGGACTCGCAACTGAGGTGGGGCACCGGGGGCAACAGGAGGAACAGAGTCCGCAGGACTCGCAACTGAGGTGGGGCACCGGGGACAACAGGAGGGACGGGGTTCGCAGGACTCGCAACTGAGGTGGGGTACTGGAGACAACAGGAGGGACGTAATCCGCAGTTGGGAGCGGCGGATGTCATAACGCAGTGCTCAACTCCACCCGCCGACCTTTCTAAATTTGCTAAATGGGAAATGAGTCCAGGGGCAAGATACAGTTGACATCCGAATGATGCGACCGACGTAGGAGGCCTCTCCCTTAGGTGCCTCGCCGCGCGCACAGAGAAGGGAGGGGGGGGGGGGGGGCGGTGAGGGTAAGGTAGAGTAGGGATGGTGGGAGTGGAAGGCGGTGAGGGTGACGTAGAGTGGGGGTGGTGGGAATGGGGGAGGGGGGGGGGGAGGATGCTGTAAAGCGTTGTCATCCGCGAGCCCGCCTGGTGAGCCTTGAAAGTGAGCATTGAAATTGGTACGGTGAAATCACGCTTAATCAGCATATTAAAAATAATTGGACACATAAACAGGGCCAACAAACGATAAACCGTGTTTCCAATCCACCAATGGCCGAACAGGTTATTTCTGTTCGTAATATGACATCAGAACAACGACCATCCCGGACTGAAGCTATTCCCGAGATCGGCTGTTATGCCGCCGTGTCCGCAGTCTACCACTAGTCATATTTCACGTCTTAGCATGACTTATTCACGACCGGGTGAAGCAAAGGTTCTGATAGATTTGTTTTGAAATTTGTGGGATTTTTTTCCCCTGTCAAAAGCGTTCGCTCTGGAGATGCCCGGAGCCTCTAAAGAGCGATCCTGATTTGCTTGATGCCGGGCGGCTTCGGCCGCCCAAGCTCTGATCCTGATTTGCCCGATGCCGGGCGGCTTCGGCCGCCCAAACTCTGACCCTGATTTGCCCGATGCCGGGCGGCTTCGGCCGCCCAAGCTCTGACCTGATTTGCCCGATGCCGCGTGGCTTCGGCCGCCCAAGCTCTGACCTGATTTGCCCGATGCCGGGCGGCTTCGGCCGCCCAAGCTCTGATCCTGATTTGCCCGATGCCGCGTGGCTTCGGCCGCCCAAGCTCTGATCCTGATTTGCCCGATGCCGCGTGGCTTCGGCCGCCCAAGCTCTGACCTGATGCGGGCGAGAGAGTTTCCGTGGGGCGGCCCCGCCCCCGCGATAGAGAGTTTCCGTGGGACGGCCCCGCCCGCGATAGAGAGTTTCCGTGGGGCGGCCCCGCCCCCGCGATAGAGAGTTTCCGTGGGACGGCCCCGCCCGCGATAGAGAGTTTCCGTGGGACGGCCCCGCCCGCGATAGAGTTTCCGTGGGACGGCCCCGCCCGCGATAACTCCCGCCCCGAAGCTGACGCCACCTCCGGGCAGCCGTGCTCACCTTTGAGGTGACGTGGTCGCGCAGCTTCAGCTCGCCCTCAAATAGCAGGTAGCGCCGGTGCGTCTCGCCGCAGCCTGGCATGGGGCAGGTGAGGTCCAGTGACAGGTGCGGCCGCGTCGCCCGCTCCAGCTCGTCGTCCTTGGTATCCTGTGCACGACAGCACAGGTAAGCATAGGTCACCTGCCGGCCCAGCGGTGACGCCCACATGACAGCACAGGTCACCTGCCGGCTCAGCGGTGACCACCGTACGACAGCACAGGTCACCTGCCGGCTCAGCGGTGACGCCCACATGACAGCACAGGTCACCTGCCCCCTCAGCGGTATCGCCCACATGACAGCACAGGTCACCTGCCCGCTAAGCGGTGACGCCCGAACCCCCAGCAATGGTATATCAGCCATCGACGCGAGGAACTCGAAGGTCGTTACGCCACAGGCTTCACAGCTGCTTCGTGCGTAGGGGTCAGTGGAAAATGCAGCAGTTGAAAATGAAATCGCATGCCTGTCATTCAAGATACGGTGGTGAACAATCAAACCGACATTGGATACTAATGTAGTGGTTCAAAAATAGTCAAACACTAGTATTGGAGCGTGGAACACAAGGACAAAATCACCGTTTCATATTTCAGCGAAACAGCGTGTACAAGAAAATCAAGGGCACGAAAAAGCACCAAGGTCAATTGGCCACGTCAGCTAGCCCCGCCATGGCTTGCGACATGTATGGACTGGGTCGGAACGAAAATTACGACTCGACTGGCTCTTCTGTGACGAATCACCTGCCACTCTCTGACGTATCACTCGCCACTCTGTGACGGCATCACCTGCCACTCTCTGACGTATCACTCGCCACTCTGTGACGCATCACCTGCCCACTCTCTGACGTATCACTCGCCTCTCTGTGACGAATCACCTGCCACTCTCTGACGTATCACTCGCCTCTCTGTGACGCATCACCTGCCACTCTCTGACGGTATCACTCGCCTCTCTGTGACGAATCACCTGCCACTCTCTGACGATAATCACTCCCTCTGTGACGATCACTGCCACTCTCTGACGTATCACTCGCCTCTCTGTGACCGCATCACTTGCCACTCTCTGACGTATCACTCGCCTCTCTGTGACGAATCACCTGCCACTCTCTGACGTATCACTCGCCTCTCTGTGACGAATCACCTGCCACTCTCTGACGTATCACTCGCCTCTCTGTGACGAATCACCTGCCACTCTCTGACGTATCACTCGCCTCCCTGTGACGCATCAACTACCCAGCCGATCTAATCAGGGGATGATGTCGTCGGTTTCACCTCACTGGCTCTCGATGCGGACATGATAACCACATTATGCATGGCTGCGACGGGACTGATGACTCTCCCCCGCTGTCCCTGCCAGGCGCGCAATAACGAGCAAGCCTGAGACCGGCTACTGATGCCACCCGGAACAAATAGTGCCGTGTGGCGGTCTGGCCGCAGCGCGAGCCCGCCGCCGCATCCGGCCGCCGCCAGGCCAGGCGGAATCACCTCGCGGGCGTGAATAGATGCTGCGAGAAGCGGACGTGTTTCTGCGGGGAGCATACACCTGGCACGAGTACACTCTCGAGTCAACAGGAAACTGCGAACAGTGAGCCGCTGCCACACAGAGCGTGGAGGAGTGGAACGTCCAGGGCCGGACGAGCCACCAGACACTGTGTGCAGCGCCGTCATCACCGACGGCACGTCCTACTCGGCTGGTTACCGTGAGCGATCGTCGCGAAGCTGGGATGACAAGATGACCAGCTCTCGGCAGTCATAGGGCCGTGGCGTGGTTGCGGTGTCGTGACCTCCAGAGACACCACGCCGTCTCCGTATGGAGGACTCTGACGGCGACAGTCTGGGCTCCTCGGCTGACCACTCACCACACAGTCGTAGCTGTCAATCCTGCCGATAATCTCGCTGAGCCGTTCCTGTTCGTGCCGGCTACGCAAGGATCCGTCTACGCTGCCCACGAATATATCCACGTCCTGGATCTGAAACGCGGACGAAGGACGTCCTCAGACAGCCTGAGAGGAGTCGGACATGGGAGACGTCCTCAGAGGGCCCGAGAGCAGACGGACATGGGAGACGTGCTGATTATAGACAAACCATTACAGACAGAAATAGTTATTTACACCAGCATATGCCTCGCTTGAACAATTACAGTGCCAACAAAACACTCAGAACATTAATCATTCACAATCAGTGCAGGTGCTGTATCTGGTGGAGGCGGAAAATAGAACCAAGCATGTCATCTAGTTATTCCCTTTCAGGCAAACTATGGCCATTGAAAATCTAAGACAGTGACGGAATCGCAATCAGTAAATATATAAACACACGCAAACACACACACAGACATATATATATATATATATATATATATATATATATATATATATATATGTATATATATATATATCCTCTTTGTGTACATCCTCTTTATCTTGAATTGGCATACCCAAATGAAATGACTTAATCGCCCATTGCAGTAATATAAGATTCCAGGTACTACATTAGCAGCGAAGACAGCCCTGCGTGATGCTGTTACTGCGCTCTCATGAGCAGCAGTCAGCTTCAAGCCCGTCAGCTCAACGGAAGGTGAAGGGCGTGAGCAGTGAAGTCAGCTCTAAGGTCCGTCGCAGTTTGGTAGTTCCGCATTCTTGGTAGATTGCACGCATATGTTCACGGAGCTGTTTACTGAGACATTTTCCACAGAGGCTTTCCACAGTCAACAAAAATAAACTTTTTATGGTCAATGTTATGCACATAATGTTTGCAGGCGGTGGATCTGGAACTAGCACAGTTGGTACGCATGGAAGGAACGCCACACAATATTTTTTAAGTGCGCACACCGATGTCTCTAATTTTGCCACATGACCGGTCTTCATGCAGACCAAAAAGGGGATGTACCATTTATCAAATCCGACATACATATTGCAGTTCTATACTGACATGTGCCTTGTTCCTGTTGCCTGGGACGTAGAGTAATAGCGCACCGAATATTCATCCCCTTTCTCGCACCTGCCCTTGAGTGGCTCCGACGGTTTCGTTTCAGCACGAAGGCGTCCTGTACGACGGCTGAAATTTATGTTCCGCCGCGACTCGATCCGCCGCGAGAAATGCGGCGGGGAAATTATTACTCCGGGGAGCGGCTTCATAGATCGCGTCGGCGGCGGCGCATCCGGACACCGCTCGTGTGTCTCGGCCGGCGGCGGCACGTCCCGGGTGTGCGCTGCACCCTGCATGCCGCTCAAGAGCGGTGCGAAGTAGGCAGGCGGGTCACGGCGTGAGGCCGCCCCGCCGTGTGTCAGCCGCGGCATGAGGCCGCCCCGCCGTGTGTCAGCCGCGGCGCGAGGCCGCCCCGCCGGGTGTCAGCCGCGGCATGAGGCCGCTCCGCCGTGTGTCAGCCGCGGCGTGAGGCCGCCCCGCCGGGTGTCAGCCGCGGCGTGAGGCCGATCCGCGGTGTGTCGGGTGTGTCCGCAGCTTCGCCCTGGCACAGGCGAGACCTCCGGCAGCGCGGCCGGCCGACACGCGCTCGTCGGCCCCGTTGAGATGCGTCTGACGCCGCCGCCGCCGGCTTCAGCTCCCGCGCAAGGGCGGCGCGGAACGCGCGCGTGCAGGCGAAGCCTTAAAAGCCGAGCGTCAATTTGTGCGGACATTTTCAGAGGAGGTGATTGCGGGGCGACCACGCGCCATTCAGCGGTCTGTCTGCACGCGGTGGATGCGAACATCCACTTGGGGAGAGTGCGCGGGCTTCCCCTTGTGTTTGAGCAGCACCGGCGGACCGACAGAGCCAACATCCGACCGTCGCGCGGCGTGTCAACGAACACGGTCTCTCCAGCCAAAAGACACGTGGTTCGGCTATCAGGATTGTTCAGCGCACAGATGACGGTCCGTTCAGAGGCGCGTCCAGCCACTCGACAGAGAAGCTGGCTGAGCGCTGAGCCGTGTGGACTCCGGCCAGTCGACCGGCCAGCCCGGCGGCGCCGTCAGTCCGGCCGCGCGAACCCTGTGCCCCACTGATTAAACCGGACGCGGCGCAACTTACGTCGAGGCGTAATACGTGTCCAGAGCGCCAACTAGGCGTGATTCACGTGGCAGGCGGGCGCCGCCCCATCACCCACCAAGGTAGAACGCAGCGCCAGACGCCCTGATTTCGAGGAGCATGTTGCATAACGCAAAACTATGACAGTTTGAGCTGCATGATTGCTAAGTTAAAATAGTGACGCTTTGTGGAAGCTGAATGCGCATCGTGACTAATATGGGCTTGAACAACGTTTAGCTTCTTCCTATTACTCATGCCTGCCAGGGCGACAAACCTCCGTATCCAGTCATAAACCTATCCGGTCTCAATATAGCATCCGGGCGGTGACGTGTGGCGGGACGCTGCCCCTAAAAATAAACGTGAAATATAAGCGCCTCAGGGAGCCTTGTTTCCGAAAGCCGCAGTCCCATACCAGCGTCGCGGGCTTGGCTGGCCCTTTGATCCAGATTTGTTTAATCCGCGAGCCGGCGTCTTGTGTACGACTTGTGGCGTTTTTGTTAGGCGGGCGGCAAACAAAACAGCCCAGCCGGTAGCGGCCAGCTTGGCGCGAGCCGCCCAATTGCTGCGAGTGCGAGCCGTCGGAAGTCACGCGGCCCGCGCGGAGTCAAAAGCGCCGCCGGCGGACGGCAGGCGGCGGTGAGGCGGCGGCAGAAGGAGACGCCGCCGCCGCCGTCCGCCACCGCATTCATTGGATAACGCCTCAATTTGCCATATACGTCAGCATGTCAGCGACCAGATACGACCAGGTTACCAGGGGCTGTATTTGAAAAGACTGGACAGCTCCAAATGATGGCTTTATGCTGTATGCCATGTATAGCAGTACGCCGGCTAAGGGGCTAATGATGGATGATGGCTGATCATGCCTATTGGCCGTAAAGAGCCAGGCAAAAATGTGACCGGAAACTACAGTGACGGTGAATGGCGATTCAGTAGCCAGTTAATAATTAATGGAGAGGCAGTGTTTGGACAATGGGCATCAAATGAACTAACGGTGTCCCTCCCAACAATGACTTGGTGACCAACAGACAAAACCAGAAACTGGACAAAGGGCGACCGATGGTTAAACTGGGCTTGAACAGGACAGGGAGGGGGACAGAAAGCGACCGGGGGTGCTCGATCGTGACAACAATTCGGTGCATAACGACAGACAGTGACCTGGGGGCCACTGACGCCACTGAGTCACAGCTCGGCTTAGTGACGGCACTGCGCCACAGCTCGGCTTAGTGACGCCACTGAGTCACAGCTCGGCTTAGTGACGGCACTGCGCCACAGCTCGGCTCAGTGACGGCACTGCGCCACAGCTCGGCTTAGTGACGGCACTGCGCCACAGCTCGGCTTAGTGACGCCACTGAGTCACAGCTCGGCTTAGTGACGCCACTGAGTCACAGCTCGGCTCAGTGACGGCACTGCGCCACAGCTCGGCTTAGTGACGGCACTGCGCCACAGCTCGGCTTAGTGACGCCACTGAGTCACAGCTCGGCTTAGTGACGCCACTGAGTCACAGCTCGGCTCAGTGACGGCACTGCGCCACAGCTCGGCTTAGTGACGGCACTGCGCCACAGCTCGGCTTAGTGACGCCACTGAGTCACAGCTCGGCTTAGTGACGCCACTGCGCCACAGCTCGGCTTAGTGACGCCACTGAGTCACAGCTCGGCTTAGTGACGCCACTGAGTCACAGCTCGGCTCAGTGACGGCACTGCGCCACAGCTCGGCTTAGTGACGGCACTGCGCCACAGCTCGGCTTAGTGACGCCACTGAGTCACAGCTCGGCTTAGTGACGCCACTGAGTCACAGCTCGGCTCAGTGACGGCACTGCGCCACAGCTCGACTTAGTGACGGCACTGCGCCACAGCTCGGCTTAGTGACGCCACTGAGTCACAGCTCGGCTCAGTGACGGCACTGCGCCACAGCTCGGCTTAGTGACGGCACTGCGCCACAGCTCGGCTTAGTGACGGCACTGCGCCACAGCTCGGCTTAGTGACGGCACTGAGTCACAGCTCGGCTTAGTGACGGCACTGAGTCACAGCTCGGCTTAGTGACGGCACTGCGCCACAGCTCGGCTTAGTGACGCCACTGAGTCACAGCTCGGCTTAGTGACGGCACTGCGCCACAGCTCGGCTTAGTGACGGCACTGCGCCACAGCTCGGCTTAGTGACGCCACTGAGTCACAGCTCGGCTCAGTGACGGCACTGCGCCACAGCTCGACTTAGTGACGGCACTGAGTCACAGCTCGGCTTAGTGACGGCACTGCGCCACAGCTCGGCTTAGTGACGGCACTGCGCCACAGCTCGGCTTAGTGACGCCACTGAGTCACAGCTCGGCTCAGTGACGGCACTGCGCCACAGCTCGACTTAGTGACGGCACTGAGTCACAGCTCGGCTTAGTGACGACACTGCGCCACAGCTCGGCTTAGTGACGGCACTGCGCCACAGCTCGGCTCAGTGACAGTGCTGCGCCACAGCTCGGCTTAGTGACGCCACTGAGTCACAGCTCGGCTTAGTGACGGCACTGTGCCACACCTCGGCTCAGTGACAGCACTGCGCCACAGCTCGGCTTAGTGACGCCACTGAATCACAGCTCGGCTTAGTGACGGCACTGCGCCACAGCTCGGCTCAGTGACGGCACTGCGCCACAGCTCGGCTTAGTGACGGCACTGCGCCACAGCTCGGCTTAGTGACGCCACTGAGTCACAGCTCGGCTTAGTGACGGCACTGCGCCACAGCTCGGCTCAGTGACAGCACTGCGCCACAGCTCGGCTTAGTGACGCCACTGAGTCACAGCTCGGCTCCGGACCCGGTTGCAGGTCAGCCTCCACGCCAAACACCAGGTCCCATCTGTTGCCTGGTCCGGGGCGCTGCGCCATGGGCACAATCCTGCCTTGGTAGCGGCTTCTGAAGCGCGACATTTTGATCACCAACGTCCAGAGGTGAATGCGCCATGTCCATGTAGCGGCCGTCTCACTAATTTTCACCGACTGTGCGGTTGCTTTGCTTTGTTTTACAACAGGGCTCCAAAGGTAATTTTACCACGTCACTTCGTAAGCCCCACAATATTCCTACCGCTGACTCTGGAGATTAAGCGCTGTCCGCAGCACAGTTCCCTGACCCGTGGCCCAGTCTGTCACCAGTACCTAACTGCACTGTTCCCTGACCCGTGGCCCAGTCTGTCACCGGTACCTGAGAGCACTGTTCCCTGGCCCGTTGCCTAGCCTGTCACCTGTACCTGAGAGCACTGTTCTCTGACACGTGACCCAATCTGTCACCTGTACCTAAGAGCACTGTTCTCTAACCCGTAGTCCAGTCTGTCACCTGGATCTGAGAGCACTGTTCCCTGACCCGTGGCCCAGTCTGCCACCTGAACCTGGCAGCATCATCTCTCCGGTTGTCGGGTTCAGCCCGAACTGAGCCGCGCCGGTACTCGAGAGCAGACGTGTGGTCTGACGGCGGCCGCCGGCCCTTAATGCGTCACGGCAGGAAAATGGACGAGGGAAAGCGCTGATGGACGAGGGCATCGCGATTAAAGCGGCACAGAGTAAAACCTCCAGCCCGGACCAGTCAGTGTGCATTGGCAATATGCCAGGGCGGTTCCAAGTTGATTCAGTACCACAGGCCAACCCAACAGTCAAACAAAACGGTTAGCCATAAAGTAGCATAACGACACGTGAGCCGCACGTTACTACCGACATTTCTTGTGCATACCCCACAGAAGCCGGCGGTCGGACCCACCATTTCGCGGAGCATGTCCTGCTCCTCAGCCGGCTCGGTCTTCTTCAGAATGGCCTTGAGGAGCAGCGAGTATTTGGTGAGTCGCTGCCAAGGCTTCGCAAGGATGTCCACCAGCCGCAGTCGGTTACAGTCCTTCTGCGTTTCACACCACTGTGAACAGGGAGGGCTTGTGTCACAGCCTTGCGTCTCACGGATATCCCATATCAGGCCGGAAGAAGGGAAGTTTACATGGCACGCTTTAATAGCGGGGACAGTATCACCATTATCCGATCACGCCCGATGGACACCACTCACAATACCACCTCAAATTACGCTTATCGGAGGGGGTGGGGATGGGTGGGGTAAATGCATTTGCTTTCCTAAGTCTATCCTTTTATCAGCGAATGTCAGTGAATAAGATATCGCGCTGACCGGGCGAAAGAAGCGATCTGACTGGGACCAATCAACGGCGCCAGTGCGCTTGCTGTTGTCATGGTCCGTCTGGTCCACTGAACCCTCAATGGCACCTTGCCCCGATACGGGAAGCGCTGCGGTATCTCGGGCACACCAGGGCCGATCATGACGGCGTCGTCACGATCCCGACGGTGCCGCGGCGTCCCGAGGGGCCCAGTTACGCCGCTGCTGCGCCGTCCGGTTGAAGAGGAGCTCGTTTCCAGCCATATGGGCACCAAAACGTCTCAGGCGTGCCAGATTTCAGTCATGATGTAAATGCGGTGTCTCAGGGGTCCTGCTGTTCAAATGAGGAGGCACTGCAGTGTTTCAAGAGAACCCAAATCCGACCAGAAAGGTGTAACAGTGCATAGCAGGCCATCACAAGGTCACCAAGCTGCGACACGTGATCGCCTCGGTGTGACTGACGCATACATTGGTCATTGCGCGTAATAATTGCCGTTCACTTCACCAATAAACACGCTAAAAGAGGCGCTAGGGATTTCGGTGGACTGGTGTACCTACAAAACAATGACTTATTGAAAAACAATGCATTAATACGGCAAAGATATCCGTCCTATGTCGGATATAAAGCGAGCTACGCTTCAGTGCTGGTGTGCTACTGAGCAGTTACCTTGGAGATTAATAAAATTAACAATCATCAATAGTGTCATTTGAGGTATATTCATAATACATATAATCCAAGCGTCTATGCGTACAAAGTAGTTGCATTTCCATCTTAACTTGTTTGCGTCTCAAATTCCAACGAGACACTCGCGGCGTTCGCGCGGATTATTCTGACTGCGTTTGGACGACACCAGCTGTAACGGCTGAACGATTGTCGAGGACAAGTAAGGATGACCAGAAACTTAACATTTGCGACGTTTAATTGGCACAAGGGTCGCTTCCGGTCAACAGTGCACGACCACGCGGACTTATGGTGAATAATCACTGAGGCAGTGCAGCAGCGCAGCAGAACAACGGCATTTACAACGCGGCGAACAATGGGACATCTCATACCGTACACTCTTGACTACGGTCTCAAACTCGAATTAAATGCATGCCACAAAATTCAAGATTGGCAAGAATAAAAAACATCAAGTTCAAAAATTCGATGTCCAACTTGTGGATTTTCCGGCATGCGTATCGTGCCTGATTAGAGCTTAAGACGGTGGTCAAGAGCGTACGGTGTAATATTGATAAAGATGCGCGGTCTAGGAGAGGGTTCGGTAGCGCTAAATGTGACAACTTCCCCACTATGCAGCTGGATGCCAGGGAGTGCAGGTGCGTGACTGGGCTCGGGACAACGTGGCGGAATAACAATATTTATGACGTCTCTTACAAAGACAAACGTCTTGCAGTCAGTGCAACACACCGCTCCCGCTTCAGCCTGACGGAAAACTCGCGACCGACTCAGGGCGTAGGCGACTCAACGTCCGCGCCACAGACTAACACGGTGCTCGAGTTCCATGCGGATAAAGTGCTCTCTTCATCGAAAACACGACGCCCATGCCTCAAATGGTGGCGCTAACGTCTCAACATAACCAGCTAATCATGACGCCCCCTCTCTAGTTAACACAGGTAATCATGACACCTCCTCTCTGGTTAACACAGCGCTTCCATATAAGGACACGACAGCGCCCACAGAAGGGGATAACCGAGCGCTCACAGCTTGGGATAGCCCAGCGCTCACAGCTTGGGATAGCCTAGCGCTCACAGCTTGGGATAACCCAGCGCTCACCAGTCAAATTTCCGGATAACTCCTTTCAACGCCAGGGCGCCGAGATAATACAGCACTGCTGTAGTGATAACACAGCATTCAGGTGGCGCTCACGTACGGGGTGGGGTGTATTTCCGGACAGAGTGCGCCACCGGCAGAGACCAGCATGCACGGATCAATATCCGCGGTGCACTGCGGATACGGGACATATTCTCCTAATGCTGGAACAATGACGCGCGGGGGCCCTTCTTGCAGTAACAAATGTCATTCCATGTTTCTCTCATTTACACGGGAGCAACACCATACCAGCTGTCGGAAGCAACACCACATAAGTTACAAGTAAGAGACAATATTGTTAAGCAATGTATGGCGCGCGACATGTGGCACGTGGGCTGGCAATAGTTCCAGGCAGGGATGGGGATAGCCGATAGGCATGACTTCAATGTTTCAAGCAGCGACGTGGCGATTTGCGAGGATCAACACGCTAGTTTGGACAACTAACAATGCGGCATAAATTGCACCCCACGTTATGCTCTCGAAATGAGGAGGGAAGCAAGCATGGCTTTTCCTGTGGCTCTACTTGAAAGCCGGAACAACATATTCTAAGCCTAATATTGTAGCATCAAGCAAGAACTGCATCTGGACAAATAAATAGGAACATGGAACGTTCAGTAAAACACTTCTGAAATGCAGTGCGGACTTAGTCGACAGGGCTTTACACTCCCTTTCTTTAAGCATACGAACGGCATCCGTTAATTTGCTGTAACGTGCATACCACATTTCACATACGGATTTGAATCCAAGGTGCCGAGAGGCGTTGGGAGCAGTTTCCTTAACTAATCGCATGAAATATTTTGTCAGCATCTAAGAGTTTAGCGCTATTGTGCTAACAGTTATTGGCCTCCAATCTACCAGGAGATTCTGGTTAAACTACATTATCCGGCAGACATCGACTCAATTGTTCATATTAGGCGTTTCAAGCAATGCTTATAATCACGGGTGATCACAAGTATTGACAATGTCGTCAATATCTGAACTCAGGGCCTTTCTTGCCCACATCGAGTCAATGCGTAAGTTTACTTTAAAAAGCTGAATCAACATCAGACGCTTGACCTTGCCCCCTTACGTTTGCGCGTGTGAATCTCATGTGTATGCTCGCAGCTCGACCGGGGTGACGTGCTCGCTCCATTGCCCGGTACTCAAAACTTAAGCTTTCTGACAATGACGAATAACAGGGGTCTTAGCAGTCGGAAACCACCGCGTCCTAGGGCGACGCTGCGGATCCCCGGTGCCCAGGCGTGGCACCACTCGGCCGGAGTCTCGAGAAGCGGGCTGCAGCGATCATAGACAGCGAGATCACAGACAGATAGCTTACGGATGCGAAACGGCAGCAGAGCCAACAGCATAAGCGCTGCGAAACTTCCCATGTCATCACCACAGCAGGCCTCCCGCAGCTCCTCTCCGCAAGAGCGGAACACAACACAACACTCATGTCATCACCACAGCAGGCCTCCCGCAGCTCCTCTCCGCAAGAGCGGAGCACAACACAACACTAGATGTGGGCTGGGTGTGATTTACCGCCTGGCTGTTGCGGCTGCGCCTTAGTTTGATCTGCTAGGTCACTTCGGCGCGCGCTCGCCACAGCCCGTGCAGCCGTGGCCGAGCTCGAACCCAATCAGGTGGTGCGCGCTGGTGCAATAGCGGGGCCGCAACTCCGTTACCTCGCAATCAGGTGGTGCGCGCTGGTGCAATAGCGGGGCCGCAACTCCGTTACCTCGCAATCAGGTGGTGCGCGCTGGTGCAATAGCGGGGCCGCAACTCCGTTACCTCGCAATCAGGTGGTGCGCGCTGGTGCAATAGCGGGGCCGCAACTCCGTTACCTCGCAATCAGGGCGCTGGTGACCGCGACGCCGCGGCTTGGCTTTTGCTTGTTTCAAAGCTTGTCGCAGGACTTAATTTCAATCATGGGCAAATGGCGGCCCGGTGAAAGAGTTGCTGAAAGCTGCTCGCTTCCTTCGAAAAGCGGAGTGCATCTTCAATGTCTTTTGACACTCCCGAAATCCAACAAGTTGGCCGATGACTTTTTGCGTAATCCCGCACGAGCAAACCCGAGCCATCAACAGTCGAAACTGTTCCATGGCATGTGTCGGGTGTAGACAAATTCCATTTTTGTGAAAGACGCACGAGCATGTTTGCTATGATATTTCAGATTGTTTCACGCTCAATGACAGGAGTGATATGCGAATCATCCCAGTTGCCGAGGCGGGACTGGTGCCCCGCCTCGGCAACTCGGTGGTGGTAAGCCCCGAGTCTCCGCATAATGTGGCCTGGGTCGTGTTCTGAGGTGATGGAGGCTGTTCTAAAGTGATCTTCAGTCTTCTAATTTCGAACTACGGCCTTAAATATTTCCTAGTTAGAAGACACTTGTGGACCTGGTAGCATTAATGAGGTCCTCATCGACAATTTGGGCACAGATAACGTTAGAGTGTCTTCGAGGTTGATAAAAAAGCCGTATGCGAAGTTGAGGGGTATCTGGACAGGCTAGACGAATGTACGAACGCTGGCTGGCCTCAGTGATGTGCCATGTCAGGACTTCATTAGGGGGGGGGGGGGGGGGTGTAGGGTCCGACAGCCAGTCATCCGGCGCCTAGCCACAGAAAGCCATCGTTGCACATAACCTCCCCGCGAATATGACCGGAATAATAGATCATCGCGCATTGTTGACTAAACACTGAAGTAGTGATTGATGCCCACATTCCCCATGTCCATTATCTTTATTAAGTTTCATTTGTTCATGCGTGACCTTGCAACGTGGCATCGCGCCCTCCAGGACGGCAAAAGCAACTAAAATATTAGATGTATCTTTTTAGCTCAGAATGGGCTCTGACCGATTGCTGATCGCTGGATCATGTATCCCAGTTGAGTTATTCAAATATCAAGTTAAAAGGATGATCACAACCTACTTTGAAGAGCTTCAACACTTCTTAATCAACGCAAAGTCAAAGTTGTTATCTCAATTAATACTGTCAACCAATTCATTAGAAATTGTCAAAATGGGTTTGTCAGGTTTATAGACCCTCGGGGCTCAGCTCTTTTATTATAATTCACTAATGAAGCGCTTACATAATTTTAGCCGTGAACACTTTTGAAATGCTACGTGCTGAGTGCTGGATTAAACACGTGAATATGACATGAAAGGTTTGGAATAGCAATAAACAATTCCACTGGTGTATTTACATTGAATGCATCATTCATTTGTGCATTTCATGAATTATTTTTCAATTTTGATCTAGCGCCGACAGGTTGCGGTACTTAATACGCAGCTGCATCAGTAATATTAGAATCAACAGGAACAATGAACAGCTAAGCACATAAACAATACAGTAGTAGACACACAATACACCAACAGTACAGAACATTCCAGTTTGTTATTTTCCAACTACATAAATACCCGGTGGAGCGGTGCTCCCGGCTTCCCGCATATTCCTCTGTTAAGGATAATCGTCCAGGCATAACACAGTTCCATCCAGCGCACGCAGCGCGCAGCGCGCCCGCGCCGAATCAGGCGGGAAGCTAGGCCACCCGGCCTCTCTGAGAATCAGGCGGGAGGCTAGGCCACCCGGCCTCTCTGAGAATCAGGCGGGAAGCTAGGCCACCTGGCCTCTCTGAGAATCAGGCGGGAAGCTAGGCCACCCGGCCTCTCTGAGAATTGATGATAGCAGGGCACGGGTGCAACAGTCTCCAATATGCAATTAGGTCTGGTATAATTGGATGCCGAGTCGGCGGACGTCGATCTATTCCGAGTGTAGCCAAAGGAGACGGTCCGCTGGCGAGTCTGGAGTGTGGCCGAAGGAGACGGTCCGCTGGTGAGTCTGGAGTGTAGTCAAAGGAGACGGTCCGCTGGCGAGTCTGGAGTGTGGACAAAGGAGACGGTCCGCTGGCGAGTCTGGAGTGTGGCCAAAGGAGACGGTCCGCTGGCGAGTCTGGAGTGTAGCCAAAGGAGACGGTCCGCTGGCGAGTCTGGAGTGTGGCCAAAGGAGACGGTCCGCTGGCGAGTCTGGAGTGTGGCCGGAAGAGGGTCCGTTGAGGGGGGGGGGGGGGGGGGGGTTGGAGTCCATTCGGAAGAACGTCCTCTGGTGGGCCTAGAGCACGTCCGGAAGGAGAACCTTTAGGGTCTGGAGTCCGGCCGAAAAAGGGTCCTTTGGGTCTGGAATCCGTCCGAAAATGGTTCTTAAGGACCTGAAGTCAGGCCCAGGGAGGATCCTTTGGTGTCTGGAGTCAAGCCGAAAGAAGGTTTGCTGATGGGTCCGGAGTCTGGCCAAAGGAAGGTCTGTTGGCGGGTCCGGAGTTCGGATAGCATAGCTGAGCCATCAGAGGCCGTCCGCCTGGATTCTCGTTATGCCAGTGGCAACGTGTGTATAACGCTGCAAGCTGCGATCACGTGAGTTCGGCTCCTGCAAAAGTAATCACGCTTGCCTGAAGGCAGGCAGGCACACGCATGTCCGCGTCAGGACGTTGTGTAACATGATGCCGAGCATTCAGGACTTTTAGGACTTTTAGGATTCAAAACAGCGTTACAAGCTGTGAAAAATTATCTGTCTTGAGCACTTAGATGGAGCAATCAGCGTGTTCATGATTTTAATGGGATGTGTTCGTCATTACCACTTCACAACTTCTTGCGCAACGATGACCTTGATCCGACTGAGGTGGCATTAGGATGATGTATCTTAGATGTTAAACGCCCTTTTCAATAAAAAAACTCAGTGAAGATGGCCCCACGCTGTTTAAAGGGATACGACGAACACGACATTAGTGCTACAGCAATAACTCCCACAGACTTGAGTGTTGCATTGACTCTACTGCAAAATATCATGCTTGACACGAGACGTACACAACAAAACCTTTTCTTCAAAAACTGATACACACCATTACTTTTACGGCGGTAACTAACATAGTCATCACTTAATACGACATTGTTTCTACTGCAATGACTTAAACACGACATAAGTGCTACACGACAAGCCTTTACTTTAAAAAAATGTATGCCGTTAATATTTCTACTGCAAACGTATATACGGCCTTATCGTATTCAGTTTTTTTGTGTTAATTTCATCCCTGGCTTTTCAAAGAAAAAGAAATGGCGTGTGATATGATTGCTGTCGTGGGTCTGTCGATCGTAATATCTTAAGCAGAAGTAATTTATCAACAGCATACAGACACCTTTAGTCTGATTTGGACCATCCACGTGCTCTCATCTGTGCGCTTTCCTCGGGGATTTTGGTGAGGACATTGTGCTAGATGGGTGGAGGGCGTTTACCATTCCAAGCCGCCTTTACTCCTGCCACCAGCCTTAGCCCCTTTCACTCGCACTTACACCACACACCCGCATCTACCCCTTCCGCTCGCGCTCACCCCTCCACCTACGCTTACCCCTCCCACCCACGCTTACCCATTCCACTCGCCCCCTTCCCATCCGCGCTCACCCCTCCACCCGCGCTCACCCCTCCACCCGCGCTTGCCCCTCCCACCCACGCTTACCCATTCCACTCGCCCCCTTCCCATCCGCGCTCACCCCTCCACCCGCGCTCACCCCTCCCACCCACACTTACCCATTCCACTCGCCCCCTTCCCATCCGCGCTCACCCCTCCACCTACGCTCACCCCTCCACCCGCGCTTACCCATTCCACTCGCCCCCTTCCCATCCGCGCTCACCCCTCCACCTACGCTTACCCCTTCCACCCCGCTTACCCATTCCACTCGCCCCCTTCCCATCCGCGCTCACCCCTCCACCTACGCTTACCCCTTCCACCCACGCTTACCCGTTCCACTCGCCCCCTTCCCATCCGCGCTCACCCCTCCACCCGCGCTTATCACTTACAACCCACGCCTACTAGTGGTCGCCTAGAAGTGGTCCTTGCGCTTGCCCCTCCCATCCGCGTTTACCACATCCGCCCGCGTTTAACGCTCCCACCCATGTTTTGAGACACGGTCGCGGGGTCGCGGGGTCGAACTCAGTGAGCGAAACTAAGGATGAGTGAGCATGCCAAACAGTGATAAACCACAGTTCTCGTATGTAGACCTGGGCTTAGTGAAATTGGCGCTGTCTGTAGAACTTGGCCTACTCTTAGACTTGATGCCAGATCCACCTCTGGCCGGCCTGCACGGTGTCCCGGAACCGTACCAGACAGCGAAACTAGGGCGGCTGGCCGGATGAGGCTGTTCGGGCTAGGTTTGGACAAAATGCATGTTTGCCATTATTGGGAGTTTCTTACACGAAAAAAAAACAAAAATAAACGTCCCCTAACAGATAGGTTGTTTAAACACCAAGTTGATATGCATTGTTCGATTACTTAGAATGTTTCTCTAGCCAATAAATGTGCTTTCTTGTGTTTAATGGCAAGCTGACCTGAGCTGTCACATCTGGAAGTGGTCCACCACCACAGCGGCCTGGCCGGCGTCGACAGCGCTACACGGGCGGACGGGAGGCGGCCTTAGAGAAACGGACGGGAGACGGCCACCATCGGCCAACGAGTCAGCAGACCGTGTCAGATGCCATTGTCAAGCGTCAGACCACTTTCCGCAGCTGACGTATAGTGCGAGCACATGCTCCAGGATGGCACGCGGCGCTGACGAGAGCGGCGCCGTGGCAGTGCCGGCGGCGGGCGCTCCAAGGGACCCCGCATGTATCGCGGGTCTGGCCAATGGCGGGCCACTGCGCAGGTCAGTCTCTTCACGTAATGTTCCGGATCCATCACGCTCAGGCAGGGCGCACGCAGGATTTTGTAAAAAGGGAGGCAACTGAAAGTGTTCGTTGGAAAGCACTTTAGACACGTCGCAGGTACACGAAATTTGTACATAGCGTACTAGCATAATATATTTTCGATCTACTTTTTAAGAGTGTGTCTTGATTTTTTAAGTGTCGATATTCATTCACATGCATATCAATTCATGACAAAAGTGATTATGAAGGGGGATAGGGTAAAGACCCCGATGTTCACCCTTTTGAATACACCCATGCACTCGAAAAAACAAGGACCAGTTCTGCGAGCTGTCCCAGCTTAAAGTCCGGCAGGGTCCGCGCCTTGTCTCAATGCCAGGGTCAACTGAACGTTTGTCTGTAACCTTGCAGAATGTGTTTTACTGGCGTCCGATCAGCGGACACCACACCAATATCCATTGGCTTTCAGGTCTCAAGAAATAGCCCAGGCTGGCGGATTATGATGTCACTGCAATCAGTCAAGCCACATTCTCCATCCCTCCAATGACAAGCCAAATAGCATCACAAATGCACCCTTCGCAAGCTTGTCGAAACGCCAGTCATTGATGCGAACGTGACCGCGGTTGGTTGCTGAGCTTTTATTTGCGGACAGCAGATTGCGTGATCCACTCAGGAATTATGGATTACCATGAGTCCGACATTGTCTACAGACGGGGGCTGTGGACGAGAAATATTAACGTGCATTCTGTCTTCTATCTCAAGTCCTGTACTTACCGCGAGGTAACCGTTAAACAAGCCGTTGCTGCGCGCCAGGTTTTTACAGTACAGCTTGCTGTTGTTTTGGTCCAGGCAGTAGCGGGTGTACGGGTGGCAAATCTCCTCGAACTGTAGCAAACAAAAGCCAATGTCAGAGAAGTCACCGAAGCAGCCATATGATCAGAACACTGCGAGTCAAGCCAAAGGCGACGCCTTTTCATTGCGCAACGAACTTGGGAGACGAATGAGCCGTCCCCGTCTGACCCACCACGACGAGACGAGTGAGCCGTCTCCGCCTGACCCACCACGAGGAGACGAGTGAGCCGTCTCCGGCTGACCCACCACGACGAGACGAGTGAGCCGTCTCCGGCTGACCCACCACGAGGAGACGAGTGAGCCGTCTCCGGCTGACCCACCACGAGGAGACGAGTGAGCCGTCTCCGGCTGTCCCACCACGACGAGACGAGTGAGCCGTCCCCGGCTTACCCACCACGACGAGACGAGTGAGCCGTCTCCGGCTGACCCACCACGAGGAGACGAGTGAGCCGTCTCCGGCTGACCCACCACGAGGAGACGAGTGAGCCGTCTCCGGCTGACCCATCACGAGGAGACGAGTGAGCCGTCTCCTGCTGACCCACCACGAGGGGACGAGTGAGCCGTCCCCGTCTGACCCATCACGAGGAGACAAGTCAGCCGTCCCGTCTGACCCCACAGGAGCTGGGCAGGCCACTGTGCGAGAGCGTCCCTTGTTAACCAGCGACACGATTCGATGCGTTACCCACCTGAGCAAAGCCCTCCCGCATCTCCGTGATGTCCAGTGGCTGACGCGACTTCCTGGCTTTGGTTAGCATGCGTAAGACGTGGTCGTGCCAGAAGTGTCTGTTGGCGGCGTAGATCTCCTGTATGTTTGAGAAGAGCTTCTCCGTATCAACCTCAGTCAAGATGCGGCTATTCTGCAGGTTGCAGAGGCAGGACAGGAAGAGCTGTGGACATGGGTTGTTATTCTTAGTAGGTCCTCTATTAGGCAAAGACCGCATCGTATATCGTGCGAGCGCACGTGTAGCCGAAGCTCGGCCAGTAGCCCCGGTCGCCTGTCAGCGCATGTCATCCGGCAGCGCGTGTGGCCAGGCATCAACGCATGTCCACTGTTGACTGATGAAACCAGAGGATGCCGAAAAACACGCCATTTGTTTATATAACGATCACATATGATCGGACGGTCAGGAAAACAACTCCCACTTCACCACCCGCAGGCCAGAATACACATAAAAGTCCCACATATGAGATTGAAGCGCGTCAATCAAGATCAACGACCTCAACGCTAAACGGCTTCATACGCATCGACCCTAAAAATAATTGTGATGTATCTGCTCAAACCGAAATCTTCGAATTCAATGTTAATTCTGGCTCACCGGTACTGAGGCGTGATCCATAGCCAAAATTCGGTCTAAGTGAGATACATTTGCATGGATCTGGGTAACATTTGACTATCACAATTTCAATTTCTCAACTTGTTCAGTACCTGTTTGTACTGAACAGCCCTGGTGAGGGTAGGCGACGCTCTGCGAAACTGCGATTCTGGGAAGCCTGGGTATTTGTTCGCTGAAAACCCGGGTTCGAACGAACTGATCTCTTTCGAACCGCATCCGTCCTAGATAAATGGCCACTACGAAGAGAAATTACTCCCGCTGGCCAAGAAATTGACAATCTCTGATACAAAACACGAAGCCACCATTGAGACAGGATTCTCGCAGTCTTCAAAGATAGTCGATGGCAAGACTGTCTATGCTTACGGCTCCCAGAATCCCTGCGCCGGTATACTATCCGAACAACGACCCGGTGCAAAATTGCAAAAAAGCTAGGCCTCGAGTACCAACTGCGACCAGATAATGACAAAATCCCCACGTTCTCGGAACTGAAGACGACCAGCTACCGACGACGGCGGCTGACGACGGCGGCGGTTAACGATGACGACGGCTAACAACAGCGGCGGCTGACACGACGGCGGCGGCTGACGACGGCGTCAGCTGACGACGGCGGCGGCTGACGACGGCGCCAGCTGACGACGGCGGCGGTTCGGCCGTCGAGCTGGCGCCCGCTGATGACGCCGGCGGCTCGGCCGTCTGGCCGGCGCCCGCTGATGACGCCGGCGGCTCGGCCGTGGAGCCGGCGCCCGATATTTGCAGCGGCCGCCGACGAGCTAATCTCCTGTTTTCGTCGAGCGCGGCCTACCCTGGCGTGACCCAGCATCGATGACAGAGGTCTAATCGGCGGCGCAGCGCGTGCCGTATCGAGCCGAGCCGGCGTGCCAGCGGCCACCGCCCGCGAGGAGCGCGGAGCCGCGTCCGACCGGGCGGGCGAGGCGTGGCGCCGTTCCGAAGCTGCGCACGTCCGTTCGCCGCCGGACATATGACCGGTCCGGCGACCGCAAGGGGGTCATTTGTCTGAGACGCTGAACTCGCGCCGCGCCGACGGCGCCGAAAGACATCGGAAAGACGTGCGGCTGCGAGGGGACGCAGCCCGAGAGGCGGGGGCGGACGATGGCAAACCGGGGGAAACACGGCGAAGACAGGATACCCGGGGAGGAGAGGTACTGGTGGGGCTCTCTAGGAAGGCGGCCGAGGACCGTGAAGCTGGAAAGATCGGGCGAAGTGCTGACAAAAACATGGAAGCGACGCGTCTGAGTGAGACTCATGAGGCGGAAGGTGAACGAGGCGGCGAATTATCCTCAGATGCTGGAACCGTATCGTCAGATCTCTAGCCTCTCGTGCTCGGGTGAACGAGCTAAGGCGCCCATCCCAGGAAATGTTGCCGGATGGAAACCGGCCACCGGTCCCCAGGAGACCCGATGACTCGAACGGATGCAATACAAAACGTAACACACGATATCTCCACCAGCTCAAATAGGAACATATGCCGGCACCAGACGGCTTTCAACCGCCAAAAGCCAACCGCCCGCCAGCCAGCCATCTGCCAGTGCCCTATCTCGCATGCATGCCGGCGTCTCCATAGTGGATGCATTGAGCCATCAGCGTTCGCATGTCAGGGCCATGAGCCGTGCAAGACACCCGGGGGGCTGGGGCGGCTGGCGACACCGGCGGCGGCGGGGCGGACGCGTCCAACACCCTCTGCAGGGCCACGCTGCGGCACTCCAGCCGCCGGCGGTGTGCCGGCGCCCGAGCCGCAGGCAGGCCGCCGCCATTCGGTCGCTCGGACGCCAAACACAGCACCGCACTTAGCCGGCGACGGCGACCGAGCTGTCACGTCTGCAGGCACAGCGCCCGCCGCCTGCAACAGGGCCGAGGGCGGGGCCGCCCCGGCCGCTGCCGGCCGAGAACGGCTCGAGCGCCGGGAAGATCCCCCCGGCCGGCGCCGAGGGCAGAAGTTTGCACTCTCGTTATGAAGTTTGTCTTAGGCGTAATGAAGCCAGATGACTGTCAAACAAAGTTCGATGCTTGAGACACGCTCTTGGTTTCGTTTCCTGGTCAGTAACTGCTAGTTAGAGCGCGCCATTTCAGCGGCATCATTTTCGTGGTGACAGTGACAGAACAGAAGTGTGGGTGGATTGAGCACAAGAAGTCCCATTTGACAGACACAGCGTAACCCATCTAACTCGAATCCAAACACACCTAAAGACACATGCCCAGCCATCAATAACTTCCTAGGTTAGAGGCCGGAAGGTTATCCGTTTCTGTGTTGTTCATTTTATAATAAGAACTACAATTTTTAGCATGTTTAACATACTCATTTACGTCATGATCTAGCGAACAGAGCCACAACTCTATCAACACATTGCGTTTATTCTACCCACAAGGGTGTGATGTGGACATGTATTATGCAGGAGACCTATTATTAATCATCACGATCACTACATCAAATGCTGTGAACGAAATCTTGCCATTCGCCATCGCGCTCGCTCCATCAAGAAGTTGCAGGTAGCTCATTAACAAACTGATGCGTTCAATGCTCCCTCAATTCGCAATTCGAATTCGCACTTTCAAACGATTCGTTTACGACTACCGCAGTCCACAAATACCCAATGTATGGGCAAACTTGGCTTATCCGCCGTGGCAATACACGACGGCATGCCTTGCCGCAAGGTTACCGTTTTCGCAGGCACGCATGAAACGCGAGCAGCGTCCGTCGGCTGGCTGGCTCCAACGAGCCTCGCCGGCGCGGCGCCGCGTGAGCCGCGCCGGCCTGACCTTTCCCGACCGGCACGACGTCCATTACCAGTGTCAGCCGGCGCGGAGCACCGTCAACAGAGTGCCACACGACATCGGAACACGACCGGGAGCGAGAGAGCGAGAGGGTGAGAGGACAGGACAGGGACAGGGACAGGGACAGAGACAGGGACAGGGACAGGGACAAGGACAAGGACAAGGACAAGGACAAGGACGGGGACGGGGACAGGGACAGGGACAGGACAAGGACGGGGACGGGGACGGGGACGGGGACAGGGACGGGACAGGGACAGGGACAGGGACAGGGACAGGGACAGGGACAGGGACAGGGCGGGGACGGGACGGGGACGGGGACAGGACAGGGACAGGGACAGGGACAGGGAAAGGGACGGGGACGGGGACGGGGACGGGGACGGGGACGGGGACGGGGACGGGGACGTGGACGGGGACGGGGACAGGCACAGGCACAGGCACAGGCACAGGCACAGGCACGGGGACGGGGACGGGGACGGGGATGGGGACGGGGACGGGACGGAGATAGAGACGGAGCGGCGGTACACCGAGGGAGCGGGAATTCAAAGAGAGAATGGTTGTACCAAGCGGAAGGGCGATGGTCCGTCGAGACATCAGGAATCCCAAAAGGTAGGAGATGACACCAGAGATGACAGGCTATTTGGAGAACAACAAAGGGTCTGTCACCATCGCCGACATGGAATTGCCTATTCGTGGTTGCACCACGCTTCATTACTGTTATCGATCATTACTGTTATCGATCAACCAAGACAGCTGGAAGTGCCTTTGGCGGATGCAGGCGTGTGCAGGTTTTTCGGTGCAGAAAAAAGAAGCATCATGGACGTCTAATTTCATTCTTCCAATCGTGCTGTCTCATCGCCTATGGAGTCATAAAATGACGTTCGTAACGATGAGCTTGAAGTTCACCTTTACCATAAGTTAGGCTTCAACACCGGTTAGCCGCTTCACGCACGCGCGAAGCTTCAGATCCGCGATACCCGCGTACGGACATACCGCCTGCGGCTACTTACGTCCGTGATGACCTTGAGCGTGTGGATGTAGGCGGCCTCTGTGTGCACCAGCTCCCAGATGGCGTTCTGCTGTTGGTGTCGCCGCTCCGACAGCCGGTCTGGCGCATCCACCAGCTCGCGCCAGTCGCTCTCCAGGTTATACAGCTCTGAAACACGCGCTCCACAGCTATCAGGACTGCGCGGGCCTGGTCACGTCTAATTCAAACCAATGCCCACAGGAAGAGGGAAAAATTTTCCCATGTGTTTTCGAAATCGATCATTCCGTTTACTTCTAGGCACATGCATGCTCCCGAGTAAAGATACCTGGGCATTACACATGAGATATGTGCGTGGAAACAGAACAAACAACACGGCTTAGTATTGCAATGGTCATTGGAAAAGCTCGCCGCATATAAGCGAAACACGAAACACTAATGTCGTGAAAGACAAGCAAGCACCAATGCACCGCTGACGTAACTATTTTATATTGACTGTAGGAGATGCACGCGGCATGTGGTGGGTTCAGGATCAGGATTTAAGCTTTTTTCGACTATGGATAATAGCTGGCTGGAGTTTCTGATGCATGGATGGTGATGAACATGTGATCGCACATCCCCAGAGATTGTGTGCGCATACAAAGTGCAAGAGGTGAGCGCCTAGCTGCATATGATCCCCTGAATGGAGGTTAGCTTCGAAAGGAAAAAACAGAAAAAAAATATTTGTAAGGAACGGTACAGGTATCACGTTTGTATCGAACCACCAAATTTGTCTCCTAACGAAGGATAATTTTCTTATGCGGTTGCTAACAAATGAAAGCTTCCGAATACACTACAGTCTTCACGGAATTGACTATCTTGGTAACGGCCTTCCACCGGAAGCCGTCATTGAGGGAGCCTCCTCACATCGCCTCCGTCAGCATTCCAGCACCAATCGCATTAAGCCCACGCTTCTTTGAAATCGCTGGTCAGCGGGTCTCACCAGCGGCGGCCGCAATCGACCGGGTACGCGACTACACCATCAGCTCCATCCGTCTCCCCGCTGTCGTGCCTGTCCGTTGCGGACGTCTGTCCCTTCCCCTCCCCACTAGTCTTTCCGATAAGGCACGTCGGCTGCGTCACGCGCGTGCCCCGAGATGATCACCGGACGTGACAACCACATCTCATCACCGCGCTGAGTTTGTTAATTTTCTCCAAATGTGCGTGCCATCGCACACCAGTGAGCGTGCATTATAGTGAGCGTGTTTATTACACGCTGCGGGGACTACGCGTGGTTGTTAGCAACTATTGCCCGACTTCCAGACTTTCAGATAGAAAGTTCTGTCTTCAGCGCAACTTTTAGTCTCAAAGTATATTTTCGCGAGTTTATTATACCGCACAAAATATCGTATGTCGGAGAATGCATTTCGAGCCAAAAACAGGAGAGTAGTGACAGCCAAGCCCAGTGCTCCCAGATAAAAGCATTAACACGAGCCCACACTCCACGCGCAGGCAGAGCCGGCATGAGGCGGGACGGTGGACAACAGCCGATGGCTGGAGAGCCAGTAAGTGCAGCGGCCGCCGGCGGAGGCAGGTGATGATGGTGGTGGTGGGTGGTGGTGGTGGTGGTGGTGGTGGCGGCGGCGGCGGCGGCCGGCGGCGGCGGCGGCGGCGGCGGCGGCGGCGGCGGCGGCGGCGGGCGGGCGGCGGCGGCGGCGGCGGCGGCGGCGGCGGCGGCGGCGGAAGAGCCGGAGGCGGCGGCGGAGGCCCGGCCGCCCAGCCCCGACGACGGCGTACGCTCACCTTCCTCCTCGGCAGCGGAGGCTCGGCCGCCCAGCCCCGACGACGGCGTACACTCACCTTCCTCCTCGGCGGCGGAGGCTCGGCCGCCCAGCCCCGACGACGGCGTACACTCACCTTCCTCCTCGGCGGCGTCACCGTCAAAGTTGACCAGGTAGGGCAACCGCGGGATACCGTGAGAGCTGTACGTCTCCAGGCACTGGATCATCTGGTCCATTTTGGAGACGCCCGTCTCCTGTGAACACGAACGGGGAGTGCAGTGGCGAGTGCGCACTCGCGCTAGCTTTGGAACACCGCAGCTGCAGTGATTCGACACATCACAGCCCCGCCGGAGGGAGAAGCGGGTGCGCATCAATTAAGCCTAAGCATGCGTAACCTAAGCATGTATGGGCTGCCAACATGCCAATCACTTGGGTCTGGAATTAGGTACAGAGCGATACTTTTGGCGCTGTTTGTCACAATATTTGAGGCATGCAATCATGCGAGGCCCATGATGCAATCGGTACTGCTAATAACCCACAATTGCGAAAATCACGTGCAAAATACTCGTTACAAGCTAACGGCAGGCCCAGATCACTTATGCCCGGAAGCATGAAAGACATGCTGTCGGCTACGTTTCACTGGTAAATCGATACTGGTTACTTAATTCAATTTCAACACCATCTACAGAAGCTTGCAACACCTATGTTTTCTAGGGCTTGCCGATCAAGAACATCATGCTCGACACAACACAGACTCAAACACAGACTCCAACTGCGCCTCCGCTCACAGCCACTCCATTAGGTGGCAGACCTTTTTCACTCAAGACCCGGCAAATCAAGGCAGCTGACGGCTTCACCTTTCCTCGCAGCGGCCAGCACTGCCGACACTTCACAACCGTGCCTCGCAGCAGCCAGCACTGCTGACACTTCACAACCGTGCCTCGCAGCAGCCAGCACTGCTGACACCTCACAACCGTGTCGCGCAGCAGCCAGCACTGCTGACACCTCACAACCGTGCCGCGCAGCAGTCAGTACAGCTGACACTTCACAACCGTGCCTCGCAGCAGCCAGCACTGCTAACACTTCACAACCGTGCCTCGCAGCAGCCAGCACTGCTGACACTTCACAACCGTGCCTCGCAGCAGCCAGCACTGCTGACACCCCGCAACCGTGCCGCGCAGCAGCCAGCACTGCTGACACCTCACAACGGTACCGCGCAGCAGCCAGTACTGCTGACACCTCACATCCAACTGTTCAGAAAATCGACTTGTAAATGCGGCGTATCGTTCGAACCCAGCCCCACACAACTCGCAGTGCTACTAACCGGCGGAGGCACCCATCGACAATCTACCGCCGAGCGACAAATGGGTCACGTGAAACATCAATCCCCGACAGCTAGAGGCATCTGGCTGCCCGATCAATGCGGCCTTCCAGTCGAGAGTTCCGGGCAGCCTACGCTCACGTTAGGTCACAGCGTTTGGAGGCGGACTGACAGCCGGACATTTTGGGCAACGGCTGCAATTCGGGAACAAATCAGAGCCTTTCAGCGGCGGAAATAGTGGCGAAATCGCTGCATGCATAATGCGCCAGGAAATAGAAGAACTGAAGCCAACGGAATAGTTGCCGGCGAGGCAAAAATGTACCCCACCAGCTCAGCTGCTGAGAAGCCAACCAGACCTGCGCAGTGTGTCATGGCAAATCTGACATCACCGTCAGATTAGCGGTCGCTCTATGTTTTTCCATCTGCGTCCAGCGCCCACCCAATAATCGGCCAAGCATCTGACGTTGCCAGCCCGGCAGACTGCGCAAAAGACCCAGCAGACTGTCTTGGCGCCAGCACAGCGGCGCCAGCAGAGCGGCGCCAGGCGTCGGAGCCGCTCAGGGGCCAGCGCCGTCGCTCACCTTGAGGGAGCTGTTGCTGAAGATGCCGCTCCATCGGGTGTGCTGCTTGCCGGTCTTGCTGACTTTGAGCGAGCCGTCGGTGGAGCCCGTCGGCCCCTGGCCGTCGCTGGCCGCCACTTCCTCACCGCTGCTGTTGATGAACTTGGTCACCATGCCGCGGTAGCTCTGAAAACCCGGACGGACAAAAGAACATCAAGCGGGGCTCTGCAGTCATCCGGATGCCAATTGAGTTGCTATTGGTAGATGTTAGTATATGGGGATGGATTTGATGAACAGTTTCAATTACTGACAAAGGTAGCCGCACAACAGCAAAGTTTGCTACTTTCAAGTGTCTCGATAGGACTAGGGAGTTCACCGGATAAATAATCACTTGACATTCTATATAAAAAAACGCATTAGAACACGTTACGTGAACAAACGTAGGCAAAGCTTCGCGGTGACTGGTACGCCGATGGTTGCAGCGGATGATGTCTTAATGAACAGCCAAGTTAACCATCAGGTGTTTTACCTTGATAAAGAGGTCACACACACACACACACACACACACACACACACACACACACACACACACACACACACCTGAGCACAAAGGTCGCGTGAAAATGCAGCTCTTGGGTACCGCTCTGCTTTTGTAAACGCGCTTAAAGAGTGCTCTCAGAAGTCAGCTAATCGGACCCGGCAGACCACGTTAGAAGGGAAATTTCGATTACTGTTAGACACCAGCTAGTCATACTGACCACGCAAGATGTTAAGGAAGAGCAGAGCATGCTGTATCGTGCCTAGTAGTATCAGAGGGATTCATACTGAATCAATGTGACGCTTGGCAGTCTTGAGTCACTCAGCTGACACACGGCAGCTCCCTCTACCTTTCAGAGAACTTCTGGCGTGCACGTGCATACGTCTTACAGGCGTTGTATAGGTACACGCGTCTTGGGGTGAACGCGACAAAGGTGCTTAAGCACATCGTTGAAAACTATAGCGATCTGTGTAAATGTGCGTTCAAGGGTTTACGCCATAATTAGATCAACATAAATGCTATACTGATTGGTGTGAAGTACATATGGAGCATATCCCGCATAACATTTGGCTTCTTTTGCCAAGGATTTCGGTGTGGCGCCAGCTTTCTTTCAACATGTCGGGTGACACATGTCGCGGCAGCTGTATATGAGGTATGTTGTGTCGTTGATTCAAGATACCGACAATACCTCACTGGCTGCCTCACTGTCAATTATTCACTGACATGCTTGACATGGCTTATGGTTATGTAGGCGACAAGTTGACAGTTAAATTACGTATGTAGACCCGTGATTTCTACCTGGGTAACAAAAACCGAGGTGACAATGGTCGCAAAACGGACTCTGACTGATTAAAAAAGGGCAAGCACTTGTCATATCGTAGCTACGCCGCATCACCAAATAGGGCAGACGTGCGTATTTGGTCTACATGTCTCCGGAATGGGGCAGGTTGTTTCATTTGAAAGGGGTGAACTCAGAAGTTATTTACCAAAACACGAAGCGGTGCTCTTTAAAACTTAAGTGCTGCATGTGAAGCCGAAGAATACAACTGTCTGCAGATATGCAGTCATATCTTCAGTAATTTAAGCAGAAAGGAGATTAGAGTACATACTAGTATAATTTTCCGCGCTCGCTCCTCTCCCTTCCATATGGCTTGTTCTTTTGGCAATGATTAAGGGACCAGCAGAAATAGAATGTCAACAAAGTATATCAAATTCGACTCTTTGCAGCATTATTACACGTCTTAACGTGCTGATTTGGTGGCAGGTTGTGCCGTTTGACCATTGCAGGTGCCGTTTCAGGTTGTGCCGTTTGACCATTCCAGGCTACCGTGAGCTGATTCCCACGGGGCGCCCGAGCAGCATGTAAGGCTGACGCCGCATGCAAAGATACCGCAGCTCTCCTACTGAAACGGCTCCAGAAGAAACTGCAAAACAAGCGCGTGCCATTGCCTAGTGCGCAGCTGGCCACCATAATGATGCTGCAGATCACCGCGCAAAATAAGCTTGAGCACTTACCCAGAACACGCAGCCAGAAACAATGGCTTTTCATCCGTCTGAATGACGTGTCCTGTGAGAACACTTACCCCCGATGACTTGCGTGTGGGTGCCGATGAGTGACTGGATGAGGACTTCGACCTCACGGGACTCTTGTTGTCATGGTCACGCACTGGAAAAACAACAACAGCATCCATTAGCGACAAAATTGCAAACATGAAGTGCAACTCAGCTTGTTCGCGACATGCAACCACTCGTGACGAGAGCAGAATTCCGGGAACACAGCGGGAAGAAAAGGCTTGGGTACACAAGCCTTGCATGTTTAATGTTATAACACAGAACACCACTAAATCTCATCGTCTGCACATTATTGACCGGCGTCAGAACAGTGAGAATAGGATAAACGAAGCAGGTTATTAAGTGGGTACAGCCGCAAAAGAGTCAGACTGGTGCTAAACAGCTATACAAATGGGTTGGTGGAAAGGAGTTTATCTCAACTTCTGCAAACACCGTCCGCTCGGCGCGACGACGGCCTAGAGCCTGAATTTGCTATTATGGAGAAAATCGGATGTTCAAGAGAGAACAGCGTGAAACCGTCTGAGAATCGGGACAACAGGGCGGTTAGATAATTCATGGAACAAACATCTGGTGGAGGAACTGGATCACCGTATCTCCCACGATGGCGATAAATAACTCAAATAATAAGAAGGCCGTTTAACTTTTTAGAAGTAGAAAATCGCTTTCTCCAAGCCAGAAACATTGAGCATACCGACGCTGCAAACAGAACGGTGGACTGACAAGTGAGTAAATTTGGCTGTCTATCCAATGCGACAGCACCGAAAAACCTTTAGCTGAAAAGGAAAAGTCTTCCGAAAAACACGTTGTTACGGAATTCCCAGTGTTGTTTGCGATTTCGCTGAGCTTGACGAGACAGTTGCGGATCGCGAACAGAACAAAGACTCCAGGAACGCCCCGGAGAGGCATATGACATTCACAAAACCTTCTTTCGATATCAATTGAAGCAGACCAGCTCAACGTCAGTCAAGAAAGTGTACTGCACTCCTAACTTTGGCGCATATTTCAAATACACACCTTGTTAAAGCGTCAGAACCAGTTGCCTCTAATAACAGCACTGGGGAGCGCTACTGCAGCATCAACAAGTTATGAGAAACTAAATACACTTTAAATAATTTCGAGTCAACATTACGCGATCAACATATTGGTACCGCACTGAACTTTTTTCTGTCTTTTAACCCAATATTTCATCTCTTGAATGGGCGATCTTGGCGCATACAAAGCATTCGAGTGAAATATTTATCATGGTCTCCACGACTGTGCACGAGGTTTCGCGTTACACTCATTCAAAATTGACTTAATATTGGCAAAATAAAAAGAACAAGCTAACTGCAAAAACGCCGTTTCTATGCCTGAAGCGAAGTGGACAGATTGTTCTCCTCCATGTTTACGTAAGAACTACTTTATTAGAAATTAATGCTTTTGATTGGCACAGCGGACAGGGTAAGTCATTTAGCGTAAAGTACATCGGTGGAAGTTGGAAATATTCAATACTGGACCACGCGATAAGTAGCTAGCATGCGCTCGCTTCGTAAACACATCCTTGCAATGAGCCGAGCATCGAGGTAGGCATCCCTTACGGGAGTGTCTCCAGCTCTTATACCATTTATCACACAAGTATTTGTCCAGTTAGAATATTGCATATATTACACAGCACACATGCTGGGAAAAGAAAATCAAACTTAAAAATGTTACTTAGATGGTGGTGAGTAGGGTGTCCAAGTCTTTTTTTCCGTCGGCGGGGCTACTTCAAATAAAAAATTCGGAACCATTCAGAAAGATTTCGAGAAGACTGGTACCACCGACTACATAGTACGCGTCTGATGTAACTACGAAAGTGCAGTACAAAAAGGTCCTTCAAGTGATTTTATTCTCTTCATGTGAAAGATACTCTTCTCTCGAAGGTTCGCAAGTTTCACTCACAGAGATGAAAACATGGACTTACACAACTTGACTTTTTCAACCACAAGACTGTCATATAGGCAAGGCTTCGTGAGGCGGAAAGTCTGTTTGAAATGCCGTTTTCAAGTGCACGCGCACGCTTTTAGCTCAAGTTTGTCCAGATTCAAGCATAAACTCGCTTTCGCCAAGCTGCCATCAATGCCTTTTAAATCAAGTGATGTCAGTGTTGGATCTGTCTCATTTTAAGGAACATCATGCAGTAGCACTGCACCAGGAAGGATGCTAGCGCGGGACGATCGAGGTGACACCAGACGTGGGTGTTACTGCATGGAGGTGACACCAGATGTGGGTGTTACTGCATGGAGGTGACACCACACGTAGGTGTTACTGTCATGGAGGTGACACCAGACGTGGGTGTTACTGCATGGAGGTGATACCACACGTAGGTGTTACTGTCATGGAGGTGACACCACACGTAGGTGTTACTGTCATGGAGGTGACACCAGACGTGGGTGTTACTGCATGGAGGTGATACCACACGTAGGTGTTACTGTCATGGAGGTGACACCAGACGTGGGTGTTACTGCATGGAGGTGACACCAGACGTGGGTGTTACTGCATGGAGGTGACACCAGACGTGGGTGTTACTGCATGGAGGTGACACCAGACGTGGGTGTTACTGCATGGAGGTGACACCAGACGTGGGTGTTACTGTCATGGAGGTGACACCAGACGTGGGTGTTACTGTCATGGAGGTGACACCACACGTAGGTGTTACTGCATGGAGGTGACACCAGACGTGGGTGTTACTGCATGGAGGTGACACCAGACGTGGGTGTTACTGCATGGAGGTGACACCAGACGTGGGTGTTACTGCATGGAGGTGACACCAGACGTGGGTGTTACTGCATCGAGGTGACACCAGACGTGGGTGTTACTGCATGGAGGTGACACCACACGTAGGTGTTACTGTCATGGAGGTGACACCACACGTAGGTGTTACTGTCATGGAGGTGACACCAGACGTGGGTGTTACTGCATGGAGGTGATACCACACGTAGGTGTTACTGTCATGGAGGTGACACCAGACGTGGGTGTTACTGCATGGAGGTGATACCACACGTAGGTGTTACTGTCATGGAGGTGACACCAGACGTGGGTGTTACTGCATGGAGGTGACACCACACGTAGGTGTTACTGTCATGGAGGTGACACCAGATGTGAGTGTTACTGCATGGAGGTGATACCACACGTAGGTGTTACTGTCATGGAGGTGACACCAGACGTGGTTGCACTGTCATGGGAGAGCTACCAAAGCATGGACGGCTAAAGCCTTCGGGAATCCGTGCAAAAGAGTGGGAGCGCTGCCAGAATTTCCTTAAAGGAGGAGCCCGGAGTTCGATGGGCACGTATGACGCTGATTTTTTACTTTCTGTTAGGAGCCATCCTTGGTGGAAAAAAACGGACCGAACGAGCAAACCCGTACTTTGCTGCGCCCCTGTAAACGGGTCTTATTGATACATTAGAATGCCCGTCTTTCAGAAGCATTTTGTTCTGAAGTTTTGTTTAGAATTCAGTGTTTTAGTAGGCAACAAGAGGTTCCCCGCCGCTTTGCGATAAGCGCAACGGGTTTCGACTTGTTTCCATTTTTCTTATCATGACCAGGCTTTTTTTGCGCAGGTCTCATTAACGTTGAGGTCGTCCATAAGCCTGTGCGATATTCATGACCCAGCCTCCCAGATTAGGCCAGTGAGTGTTGTTCCAAGAAGCGGTTTCGAGACAGGTGGCATGTTTGCACTTCCAAGTCGATAATCAGCCCACCGAGTATGAGTCGAAGAGATCTGAGGACGCTTAATGATCTGTAGGCGGTGGTGGTTTGGGCTTTTATGGCGCCGACAATAATGATCATAGGGCACCCAGGTACACTGACCTGCACTATACAGTCTGTTTCTTGTCTCCATCTGATTTAGTTGCCGAGATTCGACACAAATCGTAAAAATGTCAAATACTGGTGGGTGCACTGGCTGCGTTTAAGCGCGTGCGTCCCGAGCTGGTTACTCACAAATCACTTTTTGCACAGCCCGACACACACTTTTGGCGGCATTATGGTCCGCTCTTCTCTTCCCGAAGCGCTCCCTCCTGGTCTCATGTCGCTGTTCGTATCGTACTTGTCGCATTGCGTGCTGTATGTCATGCCGCGCCGCCAGCCGACGTTTGGGCACAGCCTAGCTTCATCCAAGCTG